TATGATCCTGCTCCCTGGAAGCAATATACCATTCTTAACATTTCACATATTTTCTCCTGGTCATTTTCCTAAGCCTTTAAAATTTTGAGATCATACTGTATAATTTTGGCTATACTTTTTAATTTATGCTTTTAATTGATGTTTTGTGGTATATCATATCACAAGCATGGCCCCATGTCATAAAAAACATCCTTTCTACGTCTTATTTGTAATAAATGCCTAACACCATACCATGTTTACTCAACAAATCCCTTATTAGTGGACAGCTCCATTTTCCCAATTACTTGTGATTATGAAAATACTAGGGAGCATCTTGGTCCTCATTAAAATGTAAAATTCCTAAAAGTGGCTGGATGACTGTTACGGAGAGTGGAGAACCCTCTGTAAGCTGTGCCCTGCCTGGGGTTGAAGGCTTCCCTGCAAAGTGTCTTCCTGCTGGCAGGTTCCCACTTAACTTTCTACAACTGCCTGAGGGTGCTGGGAAGTCTGCACTCTGACCCCCCAAACCCAGATCTTCCATGGATTCAGGTGCAGCTGGTCCAATCCTTGGCGGCCTCCAGGAAGCCCGCTGCGGAGCGCTCCATGACCCTGAAGAACGGCAGCAAGCCCTTGATGAAGAAGGTGGATATTCCTGAAGGGGAGATGATGACTTCTCGGCAGCGGAAGTGGGTGCACAGCCTACCTAATGACTGGAGCACGGAAAACCCTGTTCTCTATAGGTAGGTCCTGCTGTCCATCCACACCCACACACACTGGGGGTGCATCAGAACCTTCAAAAAACTCAAAAAGAGCTCACACAAGATGAGTGCCAGATAGGAATCAAGTCACAGGTAACTTCCCTGAAAGGGAGGTAGTAACACCTACTTTGCAGGATTGTTTGCTTCCCCTTCCCTTCCTTCCCCTACCTCCTCAGTAATTTTTTATTTTACTTTATTTTATTTTATTTTATTTTATTTATTATTAATCTCAGTAATTATTGATTGAGTGCCTCGGTCCAGACACTGGGTACAGGAATTCCACCTGCCTTTACAGTAAATAAATAAGCTGGTTCCCCCAAAGGTGGGAAGGCTCTGACACACAGGATGGGGCAGTGGGACAGGAGTCGGGAAAGCTCTCTAAGGAGGGGCCTCAGCTGAACCATGGGGCAAGGTCCTGAGATAGGATGGTCTTGGTCCCCTCCGGAAGGTTGAAGAAGTCAGTGGGCCCCAGGGAGAGGGGCCGGAGATGAGACTAGGAGAGTCTCGTAGGCCATAGTCAGTATTTTGGGCATTACTGAAACGATCAGCTGATTTACACTTTTAAGGCCTTCAGGGCTCTGTGTGCAGAATTTGGGGAGCTGCAAGAGGAAGCAGGGAGGAGGCCACAGCAGTCCATGGAAGCCTGATGGGACTGTGAGAGGGAGAGTAGCGCACTTCAGTATATTATGGAAGCAGAACCCATGGACCAGGTGATGGATTAGATGGGAGGTCTCTGGCCTCAGGGATTGGATAGACAGCAGAGGTGCCATTTCCTGAGATGGGAGCAGATGGGGTTGAAGCAGGGAGATCAGGAGTTGAATTTGAGATTTCAGCCCTCTGAGCTCAGACTCCTCAAGTAGGGAAAAAGGAAAGGGAAGGAAAGCAGAGGTTGCATCTTCCTCATGGGGCGCTTGGAAGGATGTGGCAGAAGCTGGGCTTCCCTTCCGCTCTTGAAGCTCTGCGCAAGCCATAAACCCTCTCAGGTCCGGGACTCTGGGACAGGAAGTCAGTGCTCCTCTGTCTGCATTTGTTTTCCCTTTCACCCCCTTTGGAGCAGGGGTTGACCCAATGCTGGGTAAAGGTCTCCACCCTGACCTGACCTTTGACCTTTCCCAGAGAAAGCTCCACTGAGGCGTCTGACCCTCAGCACCCTTAACTACCTACAGATGAGCAAACCAACTGGCTACCCAAGCCCAGCCTGGAGGTCAGCATTCTCCAGCCCACGTCTCTGATGCCTGATGCAGAGGTCCCGAGGCAGAGACAGCTGGGGCTGGTCCGTGCTCCCCCCACCTCCCAGGAGGTTGGCCTCACAGCCTGGCTATGACTCCGGCTTCCTCAAGGGCCCCAGCCCCATCTCAGCTGACCTGTTCTCATCCAGGACCAGGGTCTACCAATATCTCCCTGTGCCTCCCGAGGGTCCCCCTTTCCCGAAGGTTTAGCCTAGGACCACCCATCATCTTGATAACCGGATACGTCATTTAGGAGCTCTCGGCACCCACAGGACAGTGCTTTTGGAAAGGTACTTCTCATGAAGGGCCCCGGCATGTGCTGTGCTGGCTTCCTATGACAGAGAGACAAAGCCAGCTTTGCCCCAGACGCAGATGCAGAGCACAGCTTCCTGTGGCCCATGGCAGGAACACAGATGTGTTTGTAACCTGCCAGGCCCTGCCACCCTCAAAATAACGGGGGTCACTAACTCAGCATCAGCATCTCTGTGGAGTGCCTTGTTCCCTTCTTGAAAATTCGACCAGCCAAAGCCAGTCAACTTGTGTGTGCATTCACGCAGGGCGGAGCCTCTGGGTAGGTTGGAGGAGGAGCCCAGGGGAGGGATAGATCACCACCAGATTAAAGCACTGCCTCCCAGTCCCCTGGGCAAGTGGCCAAGAAGCTAGAGCTGTTAGCAGCTGCCATGGTCAGGGCACCTGGACTCCCGTGGGGCTGCCTGAGTCCAGAGGCATTTGGTTGACAAGACCGAAAGAGCCACCTCTGGAGGGTCAGCCTGGGCCCCATCAGCTGCAGCCCAGACCCTGCCGTCTTCCTCGCTGGAAGGTCTGTAGTGAGGACCACATATGAAAATGTCCAGTGAGTGCTGCACACATGGGGGCTCCGAGGAAAGGCAGGCATCCCTGAGAGCTGCTGCATTTCTGTGGTGCTTGCCCTGTGGACAGCGCATTCAGGGATTTTATTCCAAAGCTAAGGTTGTGCTCACCTACCTTGGTCCTCCCTCCCTGCTGAGACAGGTTGTCCTGGGATCCCAACTCTCTCTTCCTACACCTAAACCCCATGCACCATGGACCTGGGTATCACATGTGTGGGTCTGGGAGTCTCAGTTCTGCTTCATACAGTGACTTCTCTAAGCTCCTTTCCCCATCCTGGACAGTGGGGCTACCCCAACTACCTCATAGGATTGGCTTCTCAAAGAGCAAATGAGCATGCTGAATGCTTAGCACTGGTCTGGCTTTGCCAGGCCGGGCACACACCTCTGGTCTTCAGTTTTCACCACCCACACTTGGGTTGCAGCCAAAACAGAGACAAACTCCCTGAGGGCAGGACCCGACCTCTCATCTAGGATCCCTGGTGTCTGCCCAGGCAGTGTTTGTAGGGAGACTGGCACAGCCTTGGGGCACTCAGGAACCAGTGCACCCGGGCTATTGGCAATGCCCACGGCCCCTCTAGTGACTCCCCCATGTGCCAGAGCTTCCCTGGGAATGGGGTTTATTGTCCTCTGCTTCTGCCTCAGGGAAAAGGAAACAATTAAGAAGAAAAAAGCTCAAGAGAGTGAGAGCACCATCGCTGCCCGAGAAGTCCGGGGCCTCATGGACACCATCGGTGAGCGAGCCTCTGATTGGCCGTAGGGCAGGCCTGGCCTGGGCCTGAGAGACAGCCCCCTGGAGATCTCCTAGGAGCTCTAAAGTAGAAGCACCTGAAGCTCCCACTGTGCTCCTCACTCAGCCTTCTTCCTGGGCCTTCTCACCTGAGCCGTCTCCCAGTGCAGGCAGCTGGGGGAGGAGGAAGGGGCTGCCTGCACTGTCAGTATCTGCTGATAAAAGCCAGTTGGTAAAGGATGTTGCTCACTTTACTGCAGTTCCACAGGAGCACTTCTCATTCTCCGATTTCTTCCTTCATACCGCATTGTCGTAGTTTGACTTGATCCCAACTTGGAGGCTCTTTGTCTTCATGACTAAAAAGGTGATACGTGCTCACTCACTGTAGACGAACAAAGGAAGGAGCTAAGCAGAAGGCAAACACTCCCCCTCCACCCCTTCTCCCAAGAGTGACCACCCCCATGAAACTACAAGGTGTCCAGCTTCCCACATAGGTTCAGGTTCAAAAGAGCGGAGCGAGACTGCAGGCCCTAGAACAGAAGGCCCATGTCAAATCCCTTCTCAGCCATGGACCTCCTTATCTGAGTGTCCTTACTTGTAAGATGCGGCCGGTAAGTAATTGAGTTAGAACAATACCTGGTACATGCTAAGTGCTATGCAAGTGTTGCTTATGGTTATTTGTGTATGTATTTCCTTCTATAAAACTTTTTAAAAAAACATAAAGGATCCCATTCTGTACATGCTATTTTGGAACCTTTTGCCAACATTTAACTGTGTACGTGAGACTTCATTCCCTATAGCATTTATGGATCACCTTAGTCTTTTCTCTCTTTTCTTAAGCCTCTGACCCAGCTGGCCTAGTTTCAGGATCCATCTCCTGAGCCAGGGCGCTTTCTGCCTTGCTGCCTTTCCCTGGGTGCTCTCTGCTCACCTCGGAGGTCTACGGGCAGACTCATCACCCCTGTTGCTCTCCCCCAGTTCCTGAGGTCAGCACCCGCACCCTTCAAGGAGACTACAAGAGGAAGGGCTATGAGAACACTCTGAGGAGCTTCAGGGAGGAGATCGCTCAGATTGGGATGGTGAGAACCCTTGGTCTCACTCCCCTTCTGTCCCTGGGCCATTCTGAAGGATGGCCTGTCACTGCCCCCACCCTCCCTTTCCCCTCAGCTCAGAGGTTCTCAGTGGCTCACCATGGTGTTAACAAAACCATAGTAGCTATGTTTGCGTGGCTCATTCCGAGTGCTTATAATGTAAGTCAGGTTCTGTTATTACTCCTATTTTACAGGTGAACTCAGGAAGTCTTGTCTGTCTTGGCATGTAAGGGGCCAAGTGGGAACTAGACTCCAGGTCTGACACCAAAGCCTAAACTTTGATCCCCTGCTGAGTCCTACTCATGAGGGGCCAAATGGCTGGTCCCCCACTGACAGCCTGACGCTGCCTGGCCCTTGGTTACTGCCCCCCACCCCCACCCCCTTGGCATCCTGTACCTCTCCAGAGACCTCATCCCTAGCGACACTGGTCCCAGGATGTTCCCTGGACGAGACCCTTCTTGGCCCTTCCAGGTCCTCTCTGAGCCCCAGATTGCAGTCACCACTTCCTTCCCGAGTGTTCTCTGACTCATGTCCTTCTCCTGGCTTCCTGGAGCTGGCTCTGTACCCAAAGTACCAATAAGGTGCTCCTCTGGCCAGCTCCTCGCTTTCCTAATATGTCCTACGCAGCTCTGTTTCATCATGAGCTCTGTGGCTTTGGTCATGCAACACAACTGAGCCTGTCTCCTCATCTGAAGTCAACTTGGAATCCTTTCATTGGCTACTTTTTTAGTAAATATTTGTTGAGCCCCAACCATGGGCCTGACCAAATGTTAGCACCTACTTCTCAGGCTGTGATGAAGACCAGATGAGTCTGAGGATAAGGGCTCAGCTCAGCATAGAGCAGAGCGTCTGGCACAAGGCATGTGCCCCAAGTGGTGACTGCCCTTATGCTGTAGTTGTGAACTAATTAGTACCGTAAGTCTTAACTCCTCAAGTCTAAGTAGTGATTATTATTTTGACTATTATTTTGACAGGACCATGGCTGACACTCTTTTATTACTGGTATGGGGGGTGGGTGGGGCAGTTTCCCTCCTGCCCCATGGACGTTGATACCATAGCCATCACTCTCCTGGCCGATTTTAGGAAATGGAACCTCTCATCTTGGAGACAGGAACACTTCTTTTAAAACAGCTGGCTGAGTTTGAGGAAAAAATCAACCATCTCTTCAAAAAGGTGGAAAATGACAACAACCTCGAAGACTACACCTTCCAAGTAGGGGACCCCTCGTGGGCTGGCCTGCCCAGCCCTGGTCGTTTCCCTTCCCTCCCTGCCCCCTGTTCTCCCAGCCTCACCCCAACTTCTTGGCACAGACCCTGTTGGAGCTGTGGGATCAGGTGGCTGAGAAGTTCCTGCTCCAGAAGCAGAGGATTAAGGAGCTGGATGACACACTGTACTCGCTCGAGTTCTCCCGGACAGATAAAGTGAGCTGGCCTACAGATGGGCTCTTGGTGGTTTTCGCTTGTGGCATGTATGAGGCATCATCTGTTTCCTTTTAGTTCTCCAGGAAAAGAGACAGTCCCTAACTAGGGCACCTTGTCGTTTCTAGCTAAAAAGCGTGTTGAAGAAATATATGGAAATCATAGAGAAAACTTCCTACCTTGTGCAGCCTGATGTGTACAGCCTGATAAGTAAAGAAGCCATGGTGAGTGGTTTTCACGTGTAGGGCATCAGCCCACGAAGGAGCCTGGTGTCTCAGGAATGATGGGCTTCTCATAGGTAACGTTTCCAAATAACTCAGATTGGTCACTTAGGTTCAGAGTCTTTGTTAAGTATTTTCAATAGAAATTTTTCTACCGTACGTTTTATACTTTCCTGCCGACTTAATCACAGTATACCTGACACAGCATCGTTTTTTGAGCATGGATGATTTTACAAGTGCCTACTGGGACGTGTCTTAGCTACTGTGTGCAATGCAATAGGTGTTACACTCTGGAGGCGTTGTTTCGTGGTTGTCATGGTCTCAGGGTAGTTTGTGCCCTCATGAGTGACCCCGGCCTGCTCAGTTTTCCTAGGTTTTCTAGTGATCCTTGTGTCTCCTGCTGCTGGCCATCAGTGCCTGTTGTTGAACCACGCCTGCTCCCAGGCCCTGTCCCAGCTGCTTCCATGTCCGCACCCTCAGCTGCTTTCTTTGGGATAAAGAACTAGAAATTCAAAATTGTTCTTGATGCCTCCAAAGTCAGAGTTAAGCCTGACTCCTCCGTCGTGTGACAGGACACTTTTGGCTGCTCGGAGGCGCATTTTGCTGGCATGGGTTTCCAGGTCCTGTGCAGAAAGATGGGCAGCCAGATAATGAACGGGCCTCCTGGCAGAATCACAGATAGGCTAGATAGCTCAGGTCTGTGCCTTGGGGTCCTGGACGAAGCACAGACCTCCCTCTTCACTGCCCAGACATGAAAGCTCTGAAATAACTCAGTCCCAGTACCTGGAACTTCCTGTCCATACAGTGGGGATACTTGACCGCCAGCACTTGTTGGGAGGATGATAAAGAGGGCTCAGCAAAGACAACTCTCATTTTGAGTGAAGCAAGAGTTCCCACCTTTTATCCGTGTGATCCATTAGGGAAACCAGAGTTAGCAGTGTCCCGGTTATGTTGCATTGTCTGACTTTCCAATGTTTATTTTACCCATGGTAACCGCTGGCACATGCTACTTGCTCTATATGCATTTATCTCACTTAATCTCATAAATTCCCTATGCTGTAAATAGCGTTATTTCATATTATGGCTGCGGAATTGGAGGTTCAGGAGATACTTGCCAATGGTAGGACGTACAGCTGACATCAAACCATGGGTTCCAATGACAATTGTTATAGGAAGTTCTACACATTGAGCTTGGCAGGTTCTCACCCCTGCCCCAGTGTGATACCTAGAGAGCTTTGGGAAATGTATGGAGGCATTTTTGACTATTTTAGTCTCTGGGGGGATGGGAGAGGCTGTTCTCATTAATGAAGGCGGGGATACTAAATGGCAGAACAGTACCACACAGTGAAGAATTGTCCCCACAGCCTTGCCAACGGTGCTCAGGAGAGAGCTATGGGGAGGACTGCCAGGAATGTTCTAGCTCTGGCCTCACTTGGTAATTGGGTCCCAGTTCTCATCACAGCCATATGTGGCTGGTCCCTGATGGTATGAGCACTCTGCTTTTGGAACAAATTTATTAAAAAACAGAACAAAGCAAAAAACAGTTAAACACCGAGAGCCCACTGGAGTGTTTAACTCCAGTGAACTAAAATTGGCTTCTTTAACATACAATCTGAGGTGACTTTGGAGCTGGGTTGAAACTTATATGGTGAGTGTTCATGGTTAAGCCTTCAGGAAAGACCCTTGTCACTGTCCATGGCTGTTGAGCCCCAGGCAGCTTCTTTGAGTGTCCAGTGACCCCTCAGTACTCCTTAGACCAGCGTTTCTCAACCTTCCTAATGCCGCGACCCCTTAATACAGTTCCTCATGTTGTGGTGACCCCCAACCATAAAATTATTTTCGTTGCTACTCTATAACTGTAATTTTGCTACTGTTATGAATTGTAATGTAAATATCTTTTTGTTTTCCGATGGTCTTAGGCGACCCCTGTGAAAGGGTCGTTCGACCCCCAAAGGGGTCGCGACCCATAGGTTGAGAACTGCTGCCTTAGACACTGCCACCACCTTGCTTGATCATGGCCCCACTGGGTCCCAGGCCCTTGGCCTGTACTTCGCCTGGCCCCTTTCAAGCCTCCCGCCCCCCTGTTCAGTTGAGCCTTGTTCTGACCTGTGAGAGGCCCTGCCCCATCTAGAGCCTGCCTGCCTGTGACCACAGGTCATAAACCAAGCTCTGCTGGGCAACCGGAGGGCCATCACACAGCTGTTTGTCAATCTGATGGAGGCCACGCTGAAGCAGGAGCTTGAGCGCCACCACCGCTGGCGGGACCTGGTCGATGCCTGGAAGGCCCTCAAAAAGGAAGCCCTGGTGCACAGCTTCAGGTCAGTGGCTGCCTGCACCTCTCCCGCCAGCTTACCTGGACAGCCGGCATGGGCAAGGTGGGGACATTCTCCCTCCCCTTTTTCATTATTTTAAATGCTGTTGTTTTGGGGGGTGGTTAAAGTAATACGTGCTCTTTTCTTTAAAGTTAAAGTAGATAAAAGTATAAAGAAGAAATTTAGAATCACCACTAATCTCTCACCACAGTGAGAAGCAGAGCTGATATTTTGGCATGTTTTCTCCCAGGCTGTTTTTAGACTGCATGTGTAGGTTTGTATCTTATTTTCTTTATAAGCATTTCCTGAGAACAGTACAAACTGTTTGGAAACATTAGTCTGATTATCTGCCCAGTTTCCACTCTACTATTACACATAGCCCTGTGTACCTGGGCCAAGGAGAATGGCTGCCCCTCAAGCTTTGACATGTTCCCCACTCTGGTAACAAGTTTCACCCATGGGAGGGAGGGTGAAGAAAGGGCCCATCTCCACGCATCCTTTGCTGGGTGGCACTTTTTTTTTTCTTTTAAACTTTATTGGGGAACAGTGTGTTTTTCCAGGACCCATCAGCTCCAAGTCAAGTCGTTTTCAATCTAGTTGTGGAGGGTGCAGCTCAGCTCCAAGTCCAGTCGCCTTTTTCAATTTCATTCTGGGGGGGCGCAGCCCACCATCCCACATGGGAATCGAACCTGCAACCTTGCTGTTAAGAGCATGCTCTCTAACCAACTGAGCCATCCAGCTGCCCCCCGGTGGCACTTTTGTTAATACTGACACAAGGGTCCTGGACCTTTTGGCCAACAAGCAAGGCTTTCTTTTGCTAAAAAGGGCACTTTGGGCCAAGATATCTGAGGACACCAAAGAGTGTCTGTCTGTCTGCACTTCAGGTCTCGGGGTGGTAGGCCCATCTGTACATCTGCATTTCCAGATGGAGTGCACCAGAGTCTGACACTGGGGATAAAAGGAAATGTATTGGGACCTAGATCCACCTGTACTTCCCCTGTGACCTTGATCTAATGCTTGAACATGTGGAGCCTTTCTCTCTCTATGCAAAGCAGGCACCATGATGGACCGGTGATAGGGTTTTGTGATGATCAATAAGACACTGCATGGAAAGTGCCTGGTCTGGGACTGGGAGGTTGTTATAAATGTCAATAATCAACAGTGATGGCAGGAGCTGACATTTACTGGGCATTTCCCTTGAGTCACGCACGGTGCTAAGGGCTTTGCTTGCAATATCTTGCTAGGTCCTCATCATTAGCTCCATTATAGAAGACGAAACTGGGATTTAACGTGGAGGGAATGACTTGCCCAAGGTCTCAGAACTGTCAGGCAGCAGTCAGGACCCACACCTGGATCTGTGCCTGCTGGTCCCATGCTCTTATATTCAGAGGCTCACTGGCAGTCCCTCTGTTCTTCTCCCCCTTCCCGTTCCCTCCTTTCCTCAATGTCCCAGAGGCCCAGGGTGGAGAGGAAGGGGCTGGGAGTGGTATAAGGGTGCTGGGGTTCCAAATGTTCTTACCACTGGTCTCATCCCCTCTCTCCCATCCTCCTTGCCCCTCCTCTTCTCCCAATGCTGCCCATGTGTCTGGACACCCAGAGAGTTCATGGCCACTGAGAGGATCCAGGCTCCTCCCGCCGTGACGGAGGAGGTGGAGAGCATGCTGACGAGCCAGAAAGCCCTGCAGCAGAAGCGGCTGCAGCATCTCCGCAGCATCTGGTACACCAGGAGAGGTCCCTGGGGGTGGAGGCACAGTCCCTAGCATCGCCCGTTCTCTTGAGGCGTCCTCCAGACTAGGCCATCACTGGTTCTCTGGTGCTGGGCTGGCTGCCTGGGCCCACGCTCTGGGCGTTTCAGTCCCAGAGGCAACAAAGAAGACGATAACGTTTGCTGCAGAAAGAAGTTTAGTGTGACTGTGCTAAAGAGTTTGGAAGGAGTCAATGGCAAGGGTGTTAGGAGAGTCGGGGGAAGGTGGTGGGGAGCAGAGGGCTCCATGAGGTTTTCACTTTAGAGGGTGAGTAGAGGGGGTCTAAGGCTGGGAGCCGGGAGGTCAGTGAGGAGACTGCTGCCATCAGACAGGGGACCTGTTAGAGGCTGTGGATACCCTCCTCAGACCTGGGTCCCCCCAGCTCTGATTCCATAATAAGCTGTTTGGGGGGACATACATGGAATGTTCTAGACTGTGAATCCCACTGCCTGGGGAGCCTATAGCATCCGTTCTCAGCAGCAGGATAGAGGCTGTATGGTCCTGCAAGCAGCAGACACTAACCGGCTCGTCCTCTTCTTTGGTCCCTCCCACCCTGCTAAGCCCGGGGACTCGGGCTGTTCTTGTCTCTCCACCACAGAGCCTAAGTTCTCCTAGGATAGAAGTGACAGTCAGAGCCCCACATGGTCTCCCCATGTCTGGTACCTCCTGCTCCATGTGCAGCCACATTTTCATGCAGGTGTAAAATCAACAAGGCGGATACAAATCTCAGCACAAGGAAAAGTGCTTCTGTTTTTTTTGTAATCCACCTATTTTGGACTCTGAGCCGGTTGGTTAAACTGGAGAAAGCTCAGTGCCAGGCACCTACCTCCCTGTGCTCCCCTGCCCCTGTGCTCATGAACAGGGGGCAGTGATGTGGGCAGTGTTAGATTCCCAGGGCCCTGAGAGGGAGTTAGCCAAAGTCCAGAGAGAACCCCCAGGAATTTCCTTGGATCCAATAAGCCTATGTACATATAATTTAAAAATAATTTTTAAATTAAATTTGTATTTTGTGATAATGTTAGATTTACAGAAAAATTACAAAGATAATACACAGAATTCTAGTATACCTCTCACCTAGTTTCCCTACTATTGTCATCTTATGTTACTACTGGACATTTGTCAAAACTAAGAAATTAACTTTGATGGATTCCCATTAACTAAACACCAGACTTCTCCGGATTTACCAGTTTTTCCACTAACATCCTTTTTCTGTTCCAGGACCCGATCCAGGATACCACAGTGCATTTAGTTTAATATTTAGGCTTGAGATTATGCTGTATACACTCTTGTACCTACCTTCTGCTCTTTACTGCCCTTGCATAAGTAGGGTGCCCAAGACCATTCTGGGTTACACGTCTTGTCCTGGCATTAATAGCATCCCCCTTTTTCACTGTCAAAAAATGTCCTGGTTTGGACAACAAATTATGTGGTCCCTCTTTCCACATCATTAAATACCAACCAAAACTTAGTGGCTTAAAACAACAATCATTTCTTGTTTCTCATGACTCTGGGTCACCTGGGCGGCTCCCCTGGTCTGGGCTGGCTTGGCTGGGGCTGGATGGTCTAGGATGGCCTTATTCCCATGTCCAGCTGGGATAGCTGAGGCCTCCCTCCACTTGTTCTCTCAGCCTCCAGGAGGCTCATCCTGGCTTCTAGGTCTGGTGTCAGTGGCAGAAGAGCTCCCTACAATGAGAAGGCAAGAGGAATACAAATGCACAAGGCCGTTCCCAGCCTCTGCTGTGTCATGTTTGTTAATGTTTCATTGGCCAAAGCAAATCTCATGGCCAAGCCCAGATCCAGGGATAGAGAAATAAGACTCCACCTTTCATGGGAGGAGCAAATGATATTTTGGCCATCTTTCAATCTGTCACACATTTTTAATGACTTCACAGGAGGATTCACTGTACTTTATTTAGACAATTCCCTATTGTTGGATATGAAGGTTGTTGTGATTTTTCTGTGTTTATAAACAGTAATGTTAAGCGACTGTCTTAATACATAACTTTGTATGCATTTTATATTATTATCTCAGATTAGGCTCCTAGAAATGGCTTCCTTGGTCAAGTGATATAAGCTGTTTGTTTTTTCCCCATTAGGGACATTTGGTTTTATTTTCAAAGTATCAGACTCGTTACTATGAATAGACTTTTCATGATTTCATGACGTGTATGCTTGGCACCAGGAAACCCCTAGCAAGTCATTTTGTTTCTTCAGCATTTACATAGATGTTCCTTGAAGATGCTACCAATTTTGGTAAGTGAACGTTTTATTCAAACGTGGCTTACGTGTCATATCTTCCTTCCCCAGTGACCTTCTGCCCCCCAATTACAGCAAAGCTCAGCTGGCTGAATGGTATTCTTCTTTCAACTCCCTGAATGCGGACGTTGGTGAGTGAGGTTTGCGGGATTTCGCTCAGGTCTCTCCAGAACTCTGTTCAAGTAGTAGCTTTGCAGCAGCTTCAGCCTGTCCGTCAATCATTTATCTGAGGGCTTATTGTAAACTGAGGAGAGGATGGGGAAAATGGGATGGGGTGTGGAGGGAAGAGCAAGTTCTGAGGGCGCACATCTTGGACCTCCAAGACCTTGCCTGGCAGAGCCCTCTTTCCCATGGCAGGGCCGCAATGCCAGCCACACACTCCGACCCCGTCCTCTGACCCTAGCATGGCGCCAGAGAGATGACTTTGATGATCACCTATGAGGACAGCCCAGGGGCCAGGTCCTGGGCATTTGAAATTAAGCACTTGGTTTTGCAGGCAGAGAGACGTGGGGTTGATGGCCAACTCCCTGCTTCCCCAGCTTTGTGATATTGGGGAGGTCACGGCCTCTCTTGGCCTCAAATTCCTCCTCCCTAAAGTAGGAACCTCAAGAAGAGGAATAAAGCTTCCTACCTTGTGGGGTTGACGTAAGAATTACGTGCGATTCTGTGGTCTAGTCATAGTTCAGTACCTGGCTTACATGGAGAGAGTACTCAATAATAAACGGTGATGTTTTAAACTTCTCCTTAACAAAGGTCCTCAAACTCTGGTGGCCCATGGGTCACTCCCTGTTTGTAAATGAGTTTCAGTGGAACAGAGCTATACTCATTTGTTTGCGTATTATCTCTGGCTGCTTTTGCCCTGCAACAGTGACTATCTGGCCGGCAAAGCCAGGAAGATTTAGTATCTAGACTCTTATAGAAAAAGTTTACCAAGCTTTGCCCTAGGAAATATATTTCCACCTCCTTTGAGACTCACAGAAACCTGGTGAGATCAGTGGTGTCATTGTCGCTGTGTGATAAAGCAGGACTCAGAGGTGCAGACAGGCGAAGTATCCATCCCAAGGTCACACAGCTAATGAAGTGTTACAGTTGGACTTGATCTGGGTACTTTGCTAGTACCCAGCATTGCTCTCAGGGCCCTCAGGTTTATAATTCCAAAAGTATTATAATTATAATGCCAAGGGTAAGAGCCCCAAAACCCCCAAATAATAGCAATGGCCGCTGTTCATCAGGTGTGTCCTAGGAACAGGCATGGTGCTGGGCCCTGCTAACCAGGGGGGTGGATCTCCCCTGGGTGCTTCCAGTTCAGAGCAGAAGTCAGATCATGCAGGATGTTACAGCAGGGAGTGGACAGGTGACCAGCTATATGAGCATGTTTTAGGGGACATGGCCTGGTTAAGGGTCATGCAAGACCTTGCCAGGGAAGTAATCATCCGGTTCAGACTGCAAGGCAAGTGAGCCAAGCCCAGGGATCAGGGGAGCTTTCCAGGTAGGAAGAATAACATGTGGGGAGGCTCAGAGGCAGGACAGAGCTGGGGCCTTTGGGGAACAGAGAAGGTGGCAGGGGAGACTGGAAGATGCCCACAGGTCAGACTGTGCTGGCCATGTGGCTGTGGGGTAAGGCTTGACTTTATTCTCAGGGCTGTGGGAACCCAGTAGAAGGGGCTGAGCTGAGAGTGATGAAGTTAGAGGGGAGAACAGATCAGAGGGTCAGAGGAGTGGAAGACCCCAGGGGTAGAGCCCATTATAGTGACTTCAAAAGAGCCAAGTAAGTAGCTCTGGGGATGGGAGAGACCAGCTTTAGAGCTTCTCCTCGCCTGTTCCACTGCATTCTACTCTCCCCAGTGTCTTAAATCTATACCCAACTGCCATCCACCCTGCCTTACCTCAGCCATTGTTAAAGAGCAACCACCACAAAATCTTTGTGTTATCTTTCAGTTTCTGGAACTGCCAGGAACATTAACCTTCAGCTGCTTACCTTACACACCAAGAGTCACACTAAGTTGATAATAAACTGGGAAACAATAGAGAGAAGGAAGAGGAGAAAAATCAATCAATGAGCTTCTGAATGTCCTGCTAGTCCGTTCGTGTCGTAAGGAATTAACCACAGACGTGATCTGTAAATGCTCATTAATTTGCACCCTTGTTACCATTGGTACAATGCTCCCCAAAAGGACTTCACCAGCCTTGAAACTGAGTCAAGAATCAGGGTCAGAATAGATTCAAAACAGATAAAGACACTCCTCATTTGAGGTCCTTGCCTTGGGGTGTCGGGAATTTTGTGAGGAGGGAAATTCCAGCCCCCTATCTGAATCGGGGTCGCTGATCTCGCCGAAATTGTCCTCACTCTCCAGGCACTTTGCCGGGAAGAAGATGCTTCCCTCAGCAAAGGGGAAGCTCCTCTTTCTAACCTCCCTTCTTCCTTCTGGAAGAGCCTGACATGTTTTGTTTCTGCCCATGGAGACACCTACCACATGGACTGCCTGATGCAGATTCGCTTGCAGTATGAGAAGACCTGGCAGGAGTGCCTGGGCCACGTGCAGGAGTGCAAGGTGGGTGTCCCTCCCTGCGGGCCTGAGCAGAGGAGCCTGCAGGCCTGATGTCCCCTCCCGGGCCTGCCCCTGCCTCTCTCTAGCCTGCATCCTTTGCTTTCCTTCCTTACATGCCCCAGGCCCTCACTGGCTCCTGGGCATTCTGAAGCTATTCCCACTTCCTAAACCCCTCTTCCCCAGCGAGTCTCACCTACCCATCAGGTTGTAGCCCAGCATTAACGACCACCTCCAGGAAGCCTTCCCTGACCTCACAAAGTTATCTGATCACCTCACACTTCACCTGTGACCCTCTGTATCACTTGACGTTATTTATTCAGCAGAGGTCGTGTCATGGGGGTTATTTCCAGTGCTTCGCTTTTATAAATAGTGCAGCCACTGCCATCAGCACCCAACTTTTCTCTTTTTTAGAGGGTGAGCCAGTGAGTTCACTCACGAACCCCTTCAATCACAATGACTGATTTTCTGGGGTATAAGGAAACATTTTGTCTAAAATGCTTCCCTGCTTCCTCAGTAAAACTGTTTAGATGAACCCCACCCCACCCCCATTCCCGAATCCTTTTGAAGATGGTCTAACCTGCCAGCTGTGGCAGTAGGAGCCCCTGAGCTCTGAGGGCGCCCCACTGCTGCCCCAAGAAGCTCCTGCTGCTCCACCCCTCACGTGTCTGTCCAGCCTTTGCTCTGCCACCAAGACGCTGAGGTGAGCAGCGCTTTACAGTGCGATGCAGTCCGGGTACTGTCGCGTCTATGGGTTGTGCCGTCCACTTGCACACACTGCCATTGAACTCTACAAGGTCCCGCAGAGTAGGCGTGGCCAGCCCTGCCGGGAGATGAGAACACCAAGTTGGTGAAGGGCCCCAGGGCTGCCCAAGCCCACAGGGCTCTGCCTGTTTGCTCTGTGGCTTTAGGGACAGCCACATGCCTTTCAGTCAGCTCTTTAGAGGCACCAAACCTCAGAAGTAAAGCCTGGAGGAAGAAGGAGGAGGGAAACCTGGTGTCCTCTGAGAATGCCCCCTGGCACTCACCAAAGCTTTATTAATAGAGAGGAGTCCACTTTCTAGCTGGCATAATTCAGTTACAGGTAGCGGGAGCCCTGTTTGACTTGCAGACACGCTGAGGCCATGCAGGATGGCAGGTTATTCAGATCCCGGCCCCACCACTTGCCAGGTGCATGGCTTCAAGCAAGTTCCTTCACTTTTTTGAGCCTTGGTTCCCTCATCTGTCAAAAGGCGGCTAATAAGAACACCTCCGGGAATTCAGTGAGACAAGGGGTGAGGGCAGCACACAGCACCTGGACATAGGAGGCGGGCTGTCATGTCCAGCGTGGCAAGGGCAAACGGGTTTCTCTTAAGGGGCGACGCAAATTGAATAAGAGCAAGAGACAAAAGTAAGATTAAGAGCGAGACCAAGGGACTCAGCCAGAGAAGACTGAGTGAGCCCCGAATCGGGTCAGCGCATGGCTTTTATTGAGAAATTTGAAAAGAAGTGAAACTGCTTCACTGCTGTCAATCAATTTGTAACCTGTGACTTATGTGTGCCTTAAGACCTTTTCCATTAGCATTCCCTTTGTGTTCCAACACATCCTGTGCCTTCACACTTCCTCCACATAGCCCCAAGACACTTTGTTACTGTGTCCTCCCAGGGGAGATAACTATTATCATTCCAATAGGTCCCAGTCACCTGAGACACTCCCGGAGAGAGCTTTACAGATATCATTCCATCTGGCCTCAGTTTTCCGAGACACTCTCTCAACTAATGGGTCAGAGGCTAATGTAGGGGGGTGGTAACGGAATCGGCTATAATGCAACAGCGGGCCATAAAGATGGACCGTCTCCACTGCTGTGAGAGCTTCTCCTGAGGTTCTCGGGGATGCATGGGAGGCAAATCTAAGGGGGCAGGACCAGGCCCTAAGTAAAGTCCCCACCAACCCTAAGCCAGACTCTGCCTTGTCCTCCTCCAGAAGCAGCTGCTGGACTGGAAAGCCTTCACCGAGGAGGAGGCAGAAAACCTGGTGTGCCCATCCTTCTACCAGATGGTGGGAGCCCTCCAGAGCAAGGCGGAGGAGGAGCTGGAGTGCTTGGATGTGCGTAGCTGGAGACCCAGGCAACAGGGGAGCAGGGTGGGGGTACCCCAGGTTGCTGGGCTGTGAGAACGGGATTCCAGGGGCTTCCAACTTCACTGTCACTGAGTGCATCTATTTCCCTCACCGTGGCCAACCCTTGGAGCAGTAACTCTGTGCCGGGCATTCCAGACTCACCCCTGCCTCCTTAGCTACCTGCTGACACCAGCGCTGCACAGGACTCCTTGGGAACAGTGTCGGCAGTGAGTGCTCCCTGAGCCCTTGCTGGGCCTGGGTGCTGAAGGGCCATTAGGAGCAATAAGCCCCTGCCCCAAGACACTTAAAATCCGGAGTGGGGTCAACAAGCGTTTTCTATAAGGGACCAGATAGTGACTATGTCAGGCTCTGTGGGCTGCCTCGTCTCTGTTTAAAAGTCCCACTCTGCTGTTGTCACACAAAAGCAGCCCTAGGCAACGCAGAAACAAATGTGCGTGGCTGTGTTTCAATACAATTTTATTTGAGGACACTGAAATTTGAATTTCATATTATTTTCACATCATTAAATATCTTATTTTGATTTAAAATATCAAAATGTAAAATCTGTGCTTCGCTCCCAGGCCAAACAAAAGGACAGAGAGCCACTTTTAGCTCACTTTTAGGCCAAGCTGGCTGACCTTTAACACTAATGAGAGCATGAGACACACATATTTTTTAAAAGGGGAAGAGGTGAGGATTTCACAGCAGAGTGTGGTGTTTGGCTCAGATGCTGAAAGTCAGGGAACTCCAAAGGAGGACAGACGCCCCAGGCCGAGATGGGCGTGGCCACCTGAGTGCCCAGGATGGTTTCTAGGGTGGTTCCTTTTCCTTCTAGGGCCCAAACTCCATTTTCTTCCTGCCAGTGACTCCAGTGGGCACGGGAAAGGTCTAGGCATGGCACTTTAGGGTTAGCCAGATCAAGGGCTTGGCCTTGGGCAGACTAGAAATGCGGCCCCAGAGGAGGGAGGACCATGAGCCAACATGAGGCCCAGAAGAAGACCTTGAGGGGCCGTGCCCAGGCAGTGATGGGCAGTCCTTGAGGCCTCCACTGTCTGATGAGGGGTCCCCATGAGCAGGGCCTTCCTCCGCGCCCTGGGGCAGTTGGCACTCAGGGCATCTTCTCTGGCTTCTACCACTTCAGAAATCCTTTGAGGCTCTGGCGAAGCAGTCAGAACGGCAGAGCTTGGACCTCTTCAGCTACTTCCAGGAGGCTGTGAGGCTGTGGGAGGCACATCAGAGCATGCTGGCTGTGCAGCAGCCGGAGCTTGAGAGGCGGATAGAGCAGCAGCGCCAGAAGCACAGCCTGGAGAACCAGGTGTGGCCCCCAGCACCCAGGGCATCCCCCCCCAGGGGGTGAGGGAAGGGCCGTACCCAGGTTTCCAACTGCCTGATGGGTCTGCTTGGTGGCCTGCGAACTCAACCAGCATTCAGATGGAAAAAAAAACCCCAAAAAACTTTGATCCATACTTCACACTGTACACAAAAATTTATCTCAAAAAGTAAAGTCTCAGGCTATCAAACTTGAGCAGATGGGGAGATTGAGGCTCACCTTGGTCATGGACCCAGATGGGAGTAGAAGAAACCCACCTGAGTCAGGTGTGGGCTGTGCAATGGATCCCTGGATCCGAATGTGCCTGTAAGAGTGTGTGCATGAGAGACAGACAGACTGAGGGTATGTACTGAGCATCTACCTCCGGCAGCCATCCTGTCCCCGCAGGACATGAGCTGGCCCCCGCCCCACTCGCCTTCACACAGTCTAGGGAGCGGGGAGGAGGACTACTCAGCATCTGGTTTCAAGTACGATGGTGAGAGTGAGGAACAGGTGCCAGGGAAGGTGTGAGGGCCAGGCGGGGTGGGTGTGCGGGACATGTCCCCGAGGTGTCCCATCTGAGCTAGGTCTCGGGGAGTATAAAGTGAACAGAACATTCCAGGCGGAGAGAAGAGCCTGGAGACCTAGCAGTGCCCTTTTGGTAGAAAAGAGCACCCTGGGCCTGCCCCAGGGGCCTGCATCCCAGTTCCAGTGGCAGAGTCTCTGGATGTCACTTACCCCTGTGAGCTCTGATAACTCCTGTCCGCTTTCTCCTGTTCTGGGGCTGGCTATCAGGCCCAAGAGGCCCACCTGAATGAGCTCTTGGACCAGCTGAGGCAACAAAGCAGTGAGGAAACCCTGGCGTCTCACCTGGAAAAGGCCAAAGATTTTCTGAAGAATATGAAACACAGGTAGGCAGCTCAAACCCCAAAAGACAGAAGGGGATAACCTGGAATTCATATGCAAGGTCAGAGGTTGCCTGCTTTTGAGCCCAGCGGTGTGCCCAGCAAGCTCTAGATTAAAATGTTGCCTCTAACTTTGGAGAATTTTGTGGTCCTTTGCAGCTCTGCTCTCAGCCAACATAGAAGCTTCCAGGGAGAACTCTTCCTTTTTATAGGCATGTACATTTAGTATATATGTGGCTATATATACACATATAGAGTGATTTTTAAGTAAAAGCTGAATGCAAATTGTTCTGTAACTGCAGATAAATTTCCATTTTTAAATTACCTCGTAGAGTTCATTAATATGTTTGCTTCATAATGATTTAATCATCCCCCAGTTGATTAGCTTTTTAAGATTGGTTACAGTTTCTCAATATTAAAGCAGTTCTCTGTGAACCGTCTTGTATCTTTGTGCCTTTGTACAACAAATTCTGTTAGAACTACCCACAAAAGTGGAATTGCACTGCCAATGGATTGCAAACCTTAGATTCAGAAGTATATCTAGAGGCAAATAAGTAACCCCCTGAGCCTTGGTCTCCTTATCCAGGAAACAGGTAAAAGTCTGGGTCCTGGAATATTAGAGGGTTTGATGAGATAATATAGGTGAAGTTCAAGGACAGGGTTAGGGCAGTAGACAGGAAATGGGAACCCATGATACAATAAACACAGAGAAGTCACTCGTGTGTTTTCTAAATATTCTCCAAAGACTTTGTATTCCTTGGATGATCAGAAAAATAACAAAACACCAAGCACTGTTATTGTAAAAGGAAACCAATACAGCAGCTCTGTGCAGAGCTAAATGCCAAATTCCAGCCCATCTCCAAGGGGTCAGGGGTGTGACTTTTGGCTAGGGTCTCGCACACTCAGCCAAGCCCTTCTTAGGTGAATGTTTTAATCACAGGTATGAATGTTTTAATGTCCTCCTGACAAAAGAAGTGATGGAGTACCCAGCGATCATACTGAAAGAACTCAACTCCTATAGCTTCAAACTCAGCCAGCACTTCTACGTTCGTGAAATCTTCGAACAGGTATGGAGAGGGATGCAAAAAGCCCAGCCACTCACCAAGAAGCAAAGTATGACTTCTGGTTTTGATTTGCTTCAATTTTCAACATCTCCCCTAACTTGTGTGAAGTTAAAATCTATGTCAGGACATCAAAGATAAGCTAAAATTATCTCTAAAAGAGACCATCTCTTTCTCAGATTAAAAGAGATTGAGGGGCTCAGAATTCAGGCCTCAAGGCTTGAATGGAGTTATAATAAAAAGGCTAATTTATATGACTCTTTGAGTTCCATTCATCCAACCCATCACTGCCACATAACCCTCCTAAAACACAGTTCTGACCCACCCACTCTCCTGCTCAAAAGGCCCTCGCCAATACCGACTCCCTGGATGACCACAGAGGCCCCACATCTGGTTCCCATGTTGCGTCCCTGCTTCAGCAAAACCCTCACTCTTCCTGCACATGCCCCTGCTCCCTGCCCTTCCTCGTCCTGCTCCTCTGCTGGGATCCTTCTGTCTGCACACATCCCCAATCCACCCATACTTCCAGTCCATGACCAGTGACAAGTGCCCCATCCACTCAGCCTGACCCCCATCTCACCTCCTTCACCCCGTCACCTCTCCTCTCTCTGAGTGTGCTTGTATGCTGGTTGCTGTTAAATACAGCGCAGAGCACCTGTTGGAGGTGTTTCCTGAATCACAGATAGATATGCCTTACTAACTTTTATTCGGTTTAGATTGCCCTTAGCACAGTGTCTTGTACATGTTTCAGACACAATGAATGCCGCTGGGTAAATGCCTGAACACCTGGAATGTCCTGGTCTGACTCTCCCAGAATTTGGCTCTTTCCTATTACCCACCCACCCAACCAGAGTCCTACGTGGCCAACTCCTCAGAGAATTCCTCCTCTTGGCAGGGATCACTGTTCCAATTGCTATAAAGGCTCCCTGTGGCACCTGGGTTGAGGTGGAGCTCAAGCTATGAGGGTGAGCTCACCATCTGTTTTATGAGATCTGCCTGGTTCTGGGTGAAAGAATAGGCACTATCATCATCTCCATGTTATGCTGAAGTACACTGAGCCCCATAGGGTTTATGGGGCTTGCCCAAGGTCACCCAACTTATATGGAGCTGGCACTCGAATCCAGACCTGCAAACTCCACAGCTCATACTGCTATCTACGGCACACTGTATCCACAGCTTTATCCAGGGAATTGGTAGTGTTAACTAGGAGGCTCCCAGATCTTGTAAATCATGTTCATTCTCTGTGCTTGTGAACCCAGAATGTACTGAGTGTGGCAAATTTCTGACCGTTTGTTTGAATCCCTCAATTTATACTTTCTTGCTCTTTGCCCCGCATCACTACCAAAAATGTGTCAGAATGAGATTTTATTCTATTAATGCCCATTCTGTGATGAAAGGGTTTGCTAGTCTGTTTTGGTTAAGGAAAACTGATTCCTTGGATTGAGAACACCCTGATTACCTCAGTGAAATAAAGGTCAATGCCTGCATTAGGTGTTGGAGAAGGGGGTGGTCCTTTTACTTAAAGGAAAAGAGATGCTCTCAGAAGTGGCACTCTGGAGGAAGGCAGCACTTTTCTCTCAGTGTCTGTGTTTTTTCCTTGTAGAACTTGGATGGGGAAGTCACTTTCAAACTCAGGAAACCAGGTAAACCTTTTATAAGTCAAGATGATTCTCCCTGAATTCACTTTCATGTATTTGTGAGCTGGGGATGCCAATCCACGCTACATTGGTAACTTGTTTTTTCTTGTGCTTTGGGGTTGGTCCTCAATAGAAGCACACAAAAAGCACTTGCGCAAGAGAATGAGAAAACTGAGGAGAAAGCAAAGGGATAGAGTGGAAATGAGCACAAGTGAGGAAAGCGTAAGTAGAGGGACACGTTCCCCAAGGCCAGCAAAAGAGATGGAAGAAGGAAAATATAAAGACACTGAGTTCTCCATAACTGAAGAGGTGGTAGTGAGCCAGCAGGAAAAATCTGTACTGAGTGACGAGACAGATGAATTGAAAGAGGACTCTATTCGGGGATTAGAAGAAATGCAAGTTGAAAGAGACCACTCCTTAAAACCATCTCTGAAGCAGGCAAATGTGATGGTTCGAGAAGAGAAGGAAGAGGAAAAAGAGGAGGACGAGGAAGAGGAGGAGGAGGAGGAGAAAGAGGAAGAAGAGGAGGACGAGGAAGAGGAGGAGGAAGAGAATACAGAGGAAGAGGAGGAGGAGAAGGAAGAACATGAGAGTTTATCTATGGTTGAGGTAGGCCAGCCATAGATATGTTCTTGGGCATGGGAAGGGTGTGCTGTGTTCACTCTGTGTATCGTTAATAAAAGCTGGGGTCCCCAGTGGCTCAGTCTCCATTGGGGTGCATATACGAGGTGTGATAAAAAAATATGGTGAATATTTTTTAAGAAGTTATTACAGTAAAAGACACATTGCCATTAACCCCCTTCAAAATACTCCCCCTCGCTTCAAACACACTTATCCCATCATTCTTGCCACTTTCTGAAGCAGTTCTGGAAGTCCTCTTTCGTGAGTGTCTTTAGTTGCACTGTCGTGGCTGCCTCGATGTCCTAAATCGATTCAAAACGTTTACCTTTCATGGTCATTTTGTCTTTGGGGAAGAGCCAGAAGTTGCATGGTGCCAGTTTCAGTGAATAAGGTGGATGAGGACACACCGTAATGTTTTTATTTGACAGAAATTGCCATATCAGAAGCGATATGTGACATGGAGCCTTTCTGTTGTGATAAAAAAATATGGTGAATGCTGCTGCCAAGTGCCATCCAACAGAAAGGCAGGGATCTTCAATACAGGAAGTGGCTGGTTGAACCTTAGTAACAGTGTGTATGACAAGTTTCAACTTGTTCAGTGCAGTCAGTTGGGTGTGAGCTACAGTTGAGAGAAGGTGTGTTTTAAAGTGTGCCATAAATCATCCTCCATCATGACAATGCTCCATGTCACACATCACTCCTGGTATACAGCAATTTCTGTCAAATAAAAACATTACTGTGTGTCCTCATCCACCTTACTCAGCAGATCTGGCACCGTGCAACTTTTGGCTCTTTCCTGAAGTCAAAACGATTCAGGACATCAAGGCAGCCACAACAGCGCAACTAAAGATACTCACGAAAGAGGACTTCCAGACTGCTTCGGAAAGTGACAAGAACAATGGGATACGTGTGTTTGAAGTGAGGGGGAATATTTTGTGGGGTATTAATGGCAATGTGTCTTTTACTGTAATAATTTTTTTTAATTTAAACATTCACTGTAGTTTTTGATCATACCTCATATGAATTTTGGAGGGACATCCAACACTCAGTCTATGGCAACTATGCAGTCATTACTCAGCTCCAGCCAACAATGCCATATGGGAATGTAGGCTCAGAATTGCCAGATTTTCTGATTTTTGAGAGAAATCAGAGATCTAGACTATATGTGGAATTTCCCGATTTTAAAAGCACTATTTGAGCAAAAACAATTATAGGCAAAATTTGACCCATGGGTTTACAACCTCAGATGTCAAGGAACCTGTGGTTGGAATTCCCAGGTTTTTTGATGATGTCAAGTGTAAAATCTTGTCTTCTGCTTAGTCCGAAGCCCAAGAACAGAGTCTGAGGACTGTCTTCCATGAGGACATGGAGTCCTTCACAACCTCCAGTGGGAACACTTATTTTGTCTTCCTACCCCTGGAACAAGAAGAGAAGGAATACAAGAGGCCCCATTTCAACCTTTCTACCGTTCTCATCAATGACACTTTCAGTGCCAAGTTCCTAGAACAAGTGATAATTCCCTCCACACTAGTTTTAGAAATTAAGAAACGGTGAGTAGAAAACCTTTTTATTCTCATTCTCTTCTCTTGAATTTTATTGACAAGGTGAAGTATTTTAACAAAAATTGGACTAATTTCAGCTGGAAAAAGGAAATGTGTAGGTAACTGAAGGCAGAGGTAAGAGACTGAATTAAAAATAGCAAATGTCCAGGAATTATATGTAGTCACAGATATCCTCTGTGGCAGTGACCCCTCCACCTGTCCCAGGATGTCTTGTTGCTTTGGGCCTTATATATAAGACATAGTATTTTCTTTGCAACATGTTTCCAGATCCTGGGCCATCAATAATCTTAAGGTTTCTTTCTTTCTTTTTTTTTTCCCTTCAATTTTGTAGATATAGACCGTAAGTGTGAGTATATCAGTATGGCATTTGGCTCCGATTAAGTGACACATTTATTGCAGAAAATTAGAAAACTGTAAAAAGTAAAATGAAGAATAGAGAAATGACCCATAATTCTACCACTGAGAATTTACCCCCACCTAATCCCCAGTTTCTGGGCCTTCATGTTTAAATTTGGACCAAAAGTGGAAATTTGCATTTGGCTTAAGGCTAGCATTTCCATTGCCCTCCTGACTCTACAAAGTCATAGCTAGGACTAACCAGCTAGAGATCACCTGGTTAGTTTACTTCTCATGTTTATACGTGGGCAGGGAATAGAAGGAGTAAAGTCAGAACTTAGTACTCTTTTCTCTGTCACTTCAGCATCTTCTCACCTTGAAAATGTCTTACCTCGAACCTCATTTGTCTCCTTCTCCTATCGCAGGCCATTGTCTGTCCTCTCCATAGCCCGTAGAAGGAACCACCACAAAAGATCAGCAGTTATTATTAATATTTTAGCCTTTCTGGTGTATGTGTACTGGTGCTTCACTATGGCTTTAATTAGCATTTTCCTGATGAGTAATGATGTTGTACACCTTTTCTTATACTTGCTGGCCATTTGGTTATCTTCTTGTGAAATATCTAGTAAAACCTTTTGCCATTTTTTTTGGTGGATTGTCTATTTTTTTTCATATTAATTCTGTGAGTTGGTTACCTCTTCTAGGTATGCGGTTTTTGTTAGGTAAAAACATGGCAAATGTTCATCCCCTCTCTGTGCTTGCCTTTTTACTCTCTTAAAGGTATCTTTTGATGAGCAGAAATTCTTATTTGTAATAAGGTGTTAGTCATCAATTTTTTCATTAGAGTTAGTGTACTTTGTGTCCTATCTAAGAAATTTTTACTTGCCCCAAGCTCATGAAAATATTCCGTGTTATCTACTATAAATGTTATTATTTTAAACTTCCACATTTAGATATACAATCCACCTAGAGTTGATTTTTGTTTATGGCGTGAGGTTATCCATATTTCCCATATGGATAACCAGTTGACTCCAGACAGAGAAAACCCTCCTCTCCCTACTGTTCTGCTGTGCCTCCTTCTGTTTCTCTATGTGCCTATCCTTGCATCACCACCTCACCTTGATTGATTACTGTAGCTTTATCCTAAGTCTTAATATCTCAAAGTATAAGTCCTCTGACTTTGGTCTTCTCCATGATTGTCCTGACTATCCTTGATCAAATTGGTATTTCTATATAAATTCGAGAGCACCAGATCCTAACCACTAGACCACCAGGGAAGGGATTCTATATAAATTTGAAATCAGCTCATCAGTTTCCATAAGAAGACATCAGCGTTTTTTTTTTATTACATTGAATTTATAGATAAATTTGGGGAGAACTAACATCTTAACAGTACATAGCCATCATATCAATACATAAATTTTAAAAAGGAAGAAGTGATAAGCTGGGAAAAATAGTTGCAGCTCACAGCACGTTCAAAGGACCTCATGTTCTCAATATATAAAGTTCTCCTGTATAAAGAGGTTGATAAGAAAAAAAGCAGCTACACAAAAGAGAAATGGGCAAAAGATATTAATGGATAGTATGCAGAAAAAGAAATTTAATCATCTTAAACACATGTTCAATCTCATGTCATAACATGACAAAATTGTCAAATTCAAAAGTTGGACAATACACTCTGAGGCTATGGAGAAGTAGGAACTGTTATTTATTGCTAATGGGAGTTCAGTTTGCCTTGCAATGGAAGCAGTTTGGCCATATCTTCAAGAATCACACATGAGGGGCCGGCCGAGTGGCTCAGTTGGTTAAAGAGCTCACGCAAGAGTGCAAGCTCTGAGCAACAACAGCGGTTCGATGCCTGGCCCAAGCTGAGTGGCCGCCGAGCTGCCAACAGATGGCAGGATGGCTCAGCTAAAAAAAAAAAAAAAAAAGAATCACACATGTATTTTAGTCTTTGAAAATACATAGCCACTTGTGGCTATGTATTGTTCAGATGTCAGTTCGCCCCAAATTTATCTATAGATTCATTGCCATAACAACAGCAGCAGATGTCTTCTTGTGGAAGCTGATAAGCGGATTTCACATTTATATACAAATACAAGTGACAATTCCAGTTCAGGGAGTTTATCTGACAGAAGTGCTTCTACACTTGACATATGTACAAGGTTATTCTTTGCAGTCTTTTTTGTAAGAATAAACAGTTGGAAACCACCCAGTGTCCTCTAGCAAGGGTATGATTAATGAATGAGAGTCCACCCAGACCCAAAACTACAATGTAGTCGGGAAGTAAAACAAGCAAGAAAGAATGAAGCACTTCACGTATCGATATGGAGGGATCTCTCCCTGGTAACGATGGCTGTCAGGGAGGACCCTCACTGTTCTCTCCCTCAGACTTCGAGCTGGCTTTTTTGAGCACTTAGAGAAGTGGTTCGACCAGTGTGCCCTCAATGCCCGGGTTACCTTGGCCGCTAAGATGGATGAGCTGGATTCGGAACTGGAGCTGCGTCTGCACCTGCACCATCCAAGAGCCCAGCGCATTGAAAGGGACATCCACAACGTCAGGGCAGGTACAGACCCTGCCTGGGAAGGCTGCCCCACTCCGGCCCCTGGTGTCTGTGCCCCCACAGCTCCACAGTCATTAGCTGCCCCAGTTTGTACCACACAGCATTTATCATGTTGTCATCACACCATGGAAGATGTGTGTGAAGTTTGCACCTCCCATGCTGGCAGAGAAGGTAGTACTCAGAATCTTCATTCAAGACTTTTTTAAATTGTTTTTTTGAAAAGAGGGCATTAGATGCTGAAATGAAGAGAGTATGGTCCTGTTTTAGCTGTGTGGATCCCGGATCTACTCACACACCTGTCGGATGCACACCTTCATGGCAGATGCTCTAGAGACAAGCCTGTTGCTCAGGAATCAGAGCTGTCAGGCTCAACCATTGTAGCTGTGTGACTCTAGGCAGGTTACCTGACTTCTCTGATCCCTCACCTCCCTGCAGAAGGGGATGTTGTTGGTAGTGATACAGTGAGGAATCATGAACACCTTGTACATGCCACAGTTTCCAAAAGTGGTACCCATTCATTTCAGCTTATAATTTATAACACTTAAAAAGAGGTGCCATTTTTTTTTGGAGGCAAAGACCTCCATTAATGGGGGGGACACACACTTTTAGTTGAATCCTTCAGCAACCCCTATTAGGTTTTCACTGGTGTCAGACTTCAAGCTCCATCACAGACCTTTAGAGCTCAAAGAGGGTCCCCACGTGACCTCACCCAACCTCCTATTGCCTGGGGCAGTGAGATGGCTGTGGAATCAGACAACCTGGCCCAGAGTCCCCATGCTTGTGGTCTTAGGAGACCTGTTTGGCTTTTGGAACATCATTGTCTTCATCTGGAAAATGTACATTAAATATAAACAAAGATGCTTTCTGAAGACTGGTTTCCTTCCCCTTTCCTGGCTCCCTGGCCCAATGTACAGTATGGAAACTGAGGCCAGAGAAACAACATCCTAGAGTCACACCATTCGTTTTTGGCAGAGCTGGGACACAGCATTTTGACCACTCCCAGCAGTCAGAAGGTCGGATGGGGTGATCTGGGGCTGTCTGCTAGCTCTAAAGGCCAGTGATGGAGCTCTTGAAGCCAAATTCTGATTCTTTTTACTCCACCTTAGAAGTCCATTGGAATTCAGGCTCATTGGAAATGAGTAGCCATTGATATAAAGGAACAGCCCCCAACTGCCCAGTTGTGTGCTGGTTGTTTTCTCCCCAAACCTTCTCACTGAGATCCCCACCCTGCCCAGTACCCTCCTCCCATCCCACCTGTTCCTGGGTTGCTCCCCTGGGACTCCCTATCCCCCTGGCTTTGTTCCACTCAGCTGCAGGCAGGATGTCTCCACCCGCAGGGACCTCCCCATCCACAGCCCGGCAGAGCCTCCTCTCCAGTTAGAGACCCTGGGGTAGGCTCAGACTGGCTTCCCTGAGACCTGTGTCCATTCTATGCCAAGCCCTTTTGAGGGCAGTGGGGCAGGGTCAGAGATATTGGCCTGAGTGGTCTCTGCTCTGCAGCTGGCCTGGGAGAGGCAGCTGTCCCTGTCCAGGAAAGGAATGTCCTGAGGTGACTCAGGATCCCAGAGGACCTTGTTTCCCCTTATCCGTTTTTTAGCTGAGCTGTTGCTTCATCAAGAGCGGCTGGACAGCCACTGTGCCGGGGTGATAGAGGCTCTGAAGAAGGAGAGTCTGATGTTCTACCAGTTCCAAGAGGAGCAAGCCATGAGGAGTAAAAACTTCCGCCGCAAGATTTACGACATGGAACACACCTTCCTGAATGCCAGCAAGAGTCAGATGTAAGGGCCGTGGAGTCCCCACCCTGGCCCCGTGGGCCTAGAACCCAGCCTAGAGCAGGTAGCTGCTCTCAAAGGGGTGGTCTCTCCCTGATACATAAGAGTCATGTTTTCCAGGCCCCCAGAGCAACCTTCTCTTTTCAGTTCACCTCTTCACAAGAGTCAGAATCCAACTGTATGAAATGTCTGTCTGGAGGCTGGGAGCTGGGACCTGGGTGAGCTGCCAGAGAGAAAGAAAGGATGTTCATGGTCAGAGTGCAGAGATGCAAATGACATGCCCCAAAAGGTCCACTGTGGGAAAGACCACTTCCTTCAGGGAAAATTGGGAAGAGCTTCCTACAGAAGGCTCCCAGGCCTGGAATGGAGGAAGGTGGGGAGGGAGCAGAATCCTCCTATCAGGAAGCAGCACTGGCACAGCTGGAGGTGGGCAAGTGCTCAGGGCAGAGCAAGGGGTTCCAGGGAGACCATTTAGGGATTTGAGGTGGAGGCTCTTGAGTGCTCAGGGAGTCCTCAGTCGGGTAGCAGGTGAGGAGCCCTCACAGGTGACTACAGTGGTCAGGTACACAAGAGGCAGCTGGTTAGGGTGGATTGGGGTGTGAAGAGGAAACTTGCAGGGTACTTTTTCAGGAGAGCACCAGGGCACAGGAGCCATGTTGCTGGGAGTTAGAGTACGCCAGAGGGAGGATGAGATCCAGTAGGACCTGGGGATTCTTTCACCAATTTGATGGCAGGGGCCAGAGTGAGGAGAGGGATGCCCCTTGATCCAGCACACTGAGTTCCACACTGTGTTCTGCACACACTGGCATTTTGAACTTCCTTCTAATGCCTGTTTTTCAGGGCCGGCTGAGTGGCTCAGTTGGTTAAGAGCTCGCTCAAGAGTTTGAGCTCTGAGCAACAGCGGTTCGAGTCCAGCCCGAGCTGAGCAGTCGCTGAGCTACCAACAGGTAGCAGGATGGCTCAGCTAAAAAAAAACCCCAACAACTTCCTAATGCCTGTTTTTCTACCCAGAGAAGCCAGACAGTGGCTCTGGTTTCCCCACAGCTGGGCACGGTAGTGGAGCTCAAGCAGCCTTCCAGGTTGCCCTCCCATGCCCAGGTCACCACCCTGCTCTTCCCGTGTCCCCCAGGCTGGTCACTCTGAGCAACACACTGCACCAGGAGCTGCTTAGCTACGTCGATGTCATCCAGTTGTCCCTGCGCAGCTTCCGCCAGCACTTGGAGGAGAGCCTGGGCAAGCTTCGCTACACCAGCATTGAGTTCATCAAGCACTGCAGGTGGGGCCCAACATCTGGGGCCTCTGAGGGCCACCCGCCTGTCTCCTGAGAGTTGGTCATTTCCCCCTTAATTTTTTTTTTAAATTAAATTTACTGGGGTAACATTGGTTGATAACATTATTCTATATTACGGGTGTACAATTCTATAGTACATCAGCAATGTATATTGCATTGTGTGCTCACCACCCAAAGTCTAGTCTCCTTCCGTCACCGTATATTTGACCCCCTTTACCTCCTTCATCCTCCTCCCACCCCCTTCCCTTCTGGTAACCACCATATTGTTGTACGTGTCCCTGAGTTTGTTTGTTGCTTTCTGTTTTATATCCCACATGAATGAAATCATGGTTCCTGTCCTTTTTCATCTGACTTATTTCACTTAGCATGATAATTTCAAGATCCATCCATGTTGTTGCAAATGGCAGTATTCCATCATTTTTTTTATGGCTGAGTGTTACTTCATTATGTACATGTACCACATCTTTATCCAATTATCCATCAAAGGACACTTAGGTTGTTTTCATGTCTTGGCTATTGAGATTAATGCTGCAGTGAACATAGGGGTATATATAAAGATATATATCTTTATGAATAAGAGTTTTCAAATTTTTTATTGTGACAAAATATACATAATATAAAATTGTCCATTTTAACCATTTTTTAGGTGTACAGTTCAGTGGCAGGAAGTACATGCACATTGTTATGCCACCATCGCCACCATCCATCTCCAGAACTTTTTCATCTTCACAAACTGAAACTGAATCCATTAAATGCTATTTCCCATTCTCCTCTCCCTCCGCCTGTGGCCACCACCATTCTACTTTCTACCTCTGTGAATTTGACTACTTACTCTAGGTGCCTCATTATAAGTGGAATCACACAACATTTGTCCTTTTGTGTGTCTGGCTGGTTTCACTTAATGTCTTCAATGCTCATCCATGTTGTAACATGTGTCAGAGTTTTATTCCTTCTTAAGGCTAAATACGATTCCATTGTGCATATATATGACATTTTGTTTATCCATTCATCCCTCAGTGGACATTAGGGTTGTTTTCCTGTTTCTGTCCTTGAACTACCTGCATTCATTTTTCTTGACCTTGTACTTTTAATCTAAAGCCTTGCCAACTGCAGTATTTGGGATGGGTGGAAAGTTTCAGGCCTGATCCGCGGCTTTTATTTCTCTCAAATTATTTTCAGATTATTTTCAGAGGGAGGCAACTTTTCTTTGGAAGAAATTGACTCACTGTGCTGTCGATTGGAGAAGGAATCTGCCCGGATAGAGTTTGTTGAAAACTTAATCATGAGCAACATGGAGAAGATGGAGAATGAGTACCTGGACCAGGTGGGTGAGCCCCACCCCTGACCTCCAGCTAGACTCCCAGGGCACCTGGTTATAAGGTCAAAGGGGCCAGTCAAGCCCCCTTTCCAACCATAATTGAGCCTATCCCCCTCGGCTTCTAAAGCCCAAAAGTTCCCAATTAAGCCTCCCTCCTTTACTTTTTATATTTCTTTACAGGCCAATGATGTCATCAACAAGTTTGAAAGTAAATTCCATAACCTGTCTGTGGACCTTATTTTCCTAGAGAAAATCCAACGGTTGCTGACAAATCTGCAAGTGAACATCAAGTGCGAGGTAGGACAGATTCATTTTTCATCTGGTGGGTGTTTATCACACACACCTTGCACGCCAGCACTGTCCCAGGTGCTGGGGATACTGTGTGGTCTCTGCCCCATGGTACTTGCACTCCAGCCAGGAAGGCAGATTAAATCACAATAGCCTCTAACATTCATTGAGTTCTTATGCACCATGCATCCTACTAACCAACTTATTTTGATTAGCTATGTTAGTCCTCAGAAGAATCATATGAGGCAAGTACTGTTTTTAACTCCCATTTTAAAGATAAAGAAACCGAGGCAGAGAGTAATTAAGTGACTTAGTCAAGAGCACAGAGCTCTTAAATGGTGGATCCAAAATGTGAATCCAGGTCAAAGATCTCAAATAAACCTAGCTGTACACTTCAAGGAACAAACTAAACCCAAAGTTAGCAGAATGAAGGAAATAAAGGTCAGATCAGAAATAAATGAAATAGAGACCAGAAAAACAGTAGAAAAGATCAATGAAGCTAGGAGCTGGTTTTTTGAAGATAAACAAAATTGACAAACCTTTTGCTAGACTAAGAAAAAAGACACAAGACTCAAAACAGAAATGAAAGAGAAGACATTGCAACTGACATCACAGAAATACAAAGGATTGTGAGACTATGACCAATTATATGCCAACAATTTGGATAACCTTTAAGAAACGGATAAATTCCTAGAAATGTACCTGCGCCCTCGACCACTACTGTGGGTCACCAATTTTATTTTTAAACTTTATCTATTTGACAGTAAAAAAAAATCTTTTAAACTTGCATTGATCAAGCTTTTGATAAGATTGTGCATTTCATTTTTCCAGTACTTAATCCATCTCTCAGATAATAAGTTTTGTCAAACATTTTCCTGGTCAAAATAAATATTCTGAAACAAATCTCGGAACCTCTGGTTTTTCTAGGTGGCAAAATCCAATTTGCAAAAAGATGAATTAAATTCTTCTCTGGAACAGCTGAAAAGCAAAGTAGAAATGTGTCGAAACTCAAGGGGAGATAGAAAGGTAAGTGTTCAATAGATGCTAGGCAATGAATAGTAAAGATGCATCAAGCTGAAATCATAAATTGGAAATTAACTTATATCTGTGGTCAAGATTTTTTCAGTACCAGAGGGGCCACTGAGTCTTTCTACTTAACCCCTATTTTATTAAATGGAATTAAAGAAGAGAAGAGAAACCAGCTGCCTCCCCCAGCACCTCCCAGGCAGGCAGGTAGAGCCCAGTGAGAGCGTCTTTTCTCTTCCACTTCAGTGAATGAGTTAAGGTTTCATTGTTATTAGCAGTGAGAGAACATTTACTTTTCTATCTTTATTGCTTTTTCTTGCATAGTAACATGTGCTTCTTGAAAAAAGTTCCAACATCCACAAAGCCCAGAGTGGAGAACACACATCCCTCATGTTATTCTAATTCCCTGCAGGGCCCCTTATGACCTCTGTATTTTCATTCACATGTTTCTACACGTCCTTTGGAGAGCAGGGAAAACTGGTTAATCTGCTGTGACCTCTTGAACAGGCCCTTTAGGGACCGCTCTGCCTCTCTGGGGCAGAAACATTTGCTCTCCCACATTTCCTCACTCCCCAACCCCCCTTCCTGCCCACTCCTGCTGGTGTCAGAGTGTTAGACAAGGTGGGGGTAAGGTAGGGGGCCACATAGCCTCCTGGCCAGGTGGGGACAGCAGGAACTTGGATGGACAGGCCATCCTGTGTTGATGGAGGACGCTGGTTGGATGAATCTGCAGAGCAGTAATCAGGAGACTGGAGTGATGTATCGGATGCATGGTGAAGGTGGTGGGGACCAGGGACAGTGCGGCCAGAGCCGAGTGCTCCGTGCCACATTGAGGAGGGTCTCTGGCTGCTGAAAGGCAGGAACATAGGTAGGAGAGATGCAGGGTGCTGGGACTGAGGGAGAGAGAATAGTGGCCTGGACAAGGTGCCAGCAGGGACATGTTCCAATTCTAGAGCTGAGTAGCAGGAGGAATGGGAAGGACTCAGAGTGCACTGGGTATGAAGGAAGCAGACAAGGCCAAGGCGCCTCCTGGCCTGGGTCATCTATTAGGTCAGTGAACCATTCGAGAAAGAATGTGTGAGGACTGCTGAGTGATGTGTGGGAGGTGTGGTGAAGGTGAATATCCTCACGGTGTTTCCCTGCGCGCTTGCGGGGCATGGTCAGGGGACTTGCTGCTCCAGGGCGGTGTATATTTGATGTTGTCATAGAGACGGCCAGATTCCTCCGCCAGAAAAACTGTGGTCATTTTACTCCTGCACACCGTCGCCATCTCGGGCCAAACATTTCCTTCTGAACATTGAATATTAGAGCTAGAAGAGATCCCAGGGAGCATTCTGAGTCCCCATCACACAGATGGGCAGATTGAATCGAACAAGTTTAAATCATTTGCACAGAACAAACCAGTAGAACCAGGAATAGAACTCCTGATGCCCCATCAAGTGAAGAATCTGCTCTCAGTGTAGGAGCCTGAGAGTTGGCGCAGGGTTCCCCACTCGCCCGGGGCCCTCCCTGCAAGTGAGGGGCCTCCAGCAAGCCACCAGCCCCCATTCCTGAGGTTTAGATGGAACCAGCCTCCCCTCCTGCAGCCTCTTTCCGGTGGCTTTCTTCTTCTATGTTCTCAACAGACAGTGACGACAGAAGACCTCCTCAGCTTCGTCCAAACTTGGAAAGAAAAATTGAGCCAGAGGATTCAGTACCTCAACTGCAGGCTGGACAAGGTATCTGTGACTCAAATGGTTTTTACTGTAAGGAATGGATGGGGTGGCGGGGAAGGGTAGGTGAGCTGTTGGGCCCAGGCTCCCTAGGAGACCTGCAGGGCTCAGCAGAGCTCAAAAAAGGAGGGGGCTCCCAGGCCCTTGCTGGACTTCAGGCCTTCTGGGATGTCTTGGAAAGACCACAGGCTGTGGAGTCAGATCTGGGTTGAAGCCCAGATGGGCCCCTTCCCTGCATTGGTCTCTTAGGAGACCCCTCACCTCCTCGGCCCCATCAGGACCCTCAGCTCACCTTACCCACCAGCTGTCAGAGCAGCCTCACCTCTCAGACTCTTTCTTCCCACCCACACCCATGAGCAGCCACCAGCTTCTCCCTGCCCACCCCTACCACCTCATCCAAACCCCCCACTCTCATGACCACCTGGCTGCCCTTATCTTCTCACTCCCGCCCCCTACCTGAGCTGCAGCCAGACCAAACACTAGAAAAGGCCAGTCTGACAGTGTCACTCTCCTTCCCTCTGGGTAAAATCCATACCCTTCACTCAGACCTACACAATAGCCTCTGCAGTCCACCCTCCATGGCCTCTTCATTTCTCTGCCCCCTCCTCCGAAGATGTCACGTCACCCTAGGCCTCTTTTTTTTTTTTAAATGAAAGTTTGTTGGGGTGGCAATTGTTAGTAAAGTTACATAGGTTTCAGGTGTACAATTCTGTAATACATCATCTATATATCACATTGTGTGTTCACCACCCAGAGTCAGTTCTCTTTCCATCACCATATATTTGATCCCTTTTACCCTCATCTACCACCCCCCTCCCCCCTTACCCTCTGGTAACCACTAAACTATTGTCTGTGTCTATGAGTTTTTTCTTTCTTTGTTTGTCTTGCTCCTTTCTTGTGTTCAGTTTTATATACCACATATCAGTGAAATCATATGTTTCTCGACTTTTTCTGTCTGATTTATTTAGCTTAGCATTATAACCTCAAGATCCATAGGCCTTCTCTTATCCCTGGTCTGGTCTGGATCTCCTGGCCCCAGTGGAACCTCTCGCTTCCCCATGTGCCCACAGACCATGCAGGGAGGTCTCCACTTTAGGGACTGTCTCCCCTAGACTGTGCACCCCAGGAGAGCAAAAGAGCCTGTGTCTCCCCCACCCTACACTCAGCCCCTCACACCAGGTTTTGAACACCAGAGGCTATCAAACAACTTCAGGCGGTGGACCGGGGTAGAGGGGTGTCATAGAACCAATGGCGGCATAAATTGATACCCCCTCAAGTTCTACCCTGGCCACCCTCAAGCCCTGTTTTGAATCAGCCCTTTCTGCTATGGGAGGCTCTTCCCACCATACCAGCCGCACTAAGCCTCCATTGCACCACCAGTACTGCTCCTGACAAGAGGAGACAGGAGTCCAGCTGGGTCCTTCCCTCTTACAGTCTACCACTGAGATGAGACTTGGAATAAAACAGGGAACAGCTTAACTAAGTGCTCATTGTGCGCCACCACCCTGACCCTTTCTCTAAGGTCCATCTTGAGCAGGGATTGACCACTCACTCATCCATCATTCATTCATTCACTTGTCCATTGGTCAGAAACACTGCCTAGGCACATCCACAGGCCAGCTTTACAGGTCCGTGACCCTCAGTCTCATAGAAGACACTAGAACATTTTTTTTCACAGCACTGGTCCCAATTTTAACCAAACATTTATTTGTAGAAGTGCATATTAAATCTCTGTCTCTCTGACTAGACTGTAAGGTCCATGAGGACAAGGGTCACATGTTGTGGCCTCTTTACCCCACGTTCCAGGACATAGGCAGAGACTTGTAGAGAGCAGGAACTCGGGAAACATTTTTGAAGGTTGACATGCATGCATGAATGAGTGGCCCTCTAGAAGAGATATGGCCATTACTGTTTTATAGAAGGGAAAATAGAGGCTCAGAGAGGTCAGGCAGCTAGCCTCCAACTGCGACACCTCAGCAAGGTGGTACTGGAATTGGAGCCCAGCCTGCCTGCCTCCCTGGCACCTAGGTTGGACCCACACCCATGGGCCCTTCTCTCTGGCCTTCAGGACAACATCTTGACTGACCTGGAGGTGCAGAGTGACATCCTGGTGTCTTCAGAAGTCCTTGAAGAGGAGGCCAAGGTAGATGTGGTCACCCCTGAGTCCTTCGCCCAGCCGAGTCGCATGGGGAAGCCCATGATTGAAGACCCAGCTGTAGAGGTGATCAAGAAGATCCTGCAGTGAGTGGCCCTGGGGTGCACAGTGGGGGCCCTGACACCACAGCCCATGCCCTGAGCCTTCAGGGACCAGTTTTGGGGTCCCAGGTGGAAAGCCTATGATCTTGAGCAAGGGACTTCTCCTCTCAGAGCCTCAGTTTCCTCCTCTCAAATGGGGCTTATGGTAGGATGGAGTCATGTGGTGTTGTGTGCTCACTGGGATGGTGCCCAGTGCTTGGCCTGAGCTGTCCTCATGGTCACTGGGAATAACACTCACACCCTTTTCTTTGGTTTCAGACTTAAGGACTCAAAACACTCAACACCCCTATGTGACAAAATTCGATCCCAGATAGGTAGAGGCAAATCTGGGTCTCAGGGTAACGGTGGTGGGAAAGCCAGTGGTGCTACCTGGCCAATCCTCACCTTGGATCCTCTGCTCTTGTCCTGGGCGATTGTCACTCAAAGGCTTGAAGCAACACCGGAACCGGGTAGAACACTCCATGAAGGCCTTGTCCAGTGGCAGTGCCATCTCAGCAGGGAGGTAGGGATGCTGGTCTGCCCAGGATCTCCCCTTCCCAGGCCCCTACCCTGTCCCTAGCCTGAGGCCAGAGACTACCCTGTTACTTTACCACAATCTATTCTCAGAATGTGTTGCCCATGCTCACAGCTCTGAGACTCCAAGGGACCCAGCGAGGGGGCCAGCTGTGATGCTGGCTTTGGTGATATCTGTATTCATCCTTGCTGAACGACTTGGCTCACCCAGACTTTCTACTTGGAGAACCTGTCTGGGAGTTCATTGGTTTTCCACAGAGATAGCAGGTGGATCCAAACCCTGAAACCTTCCCACAGACATCATCCCTGCCAGAATGAGGGACATCGGAGGTGGCTTTCCTTGAGGGACCACACCGAACCATAGGAGGAGTCCTGGGTCTCTGCATCCTGGCCATGAGCTCTGCCCACTATGCCCCGTCGGAGTCATTAGACTCATGGCTCAGTGAGCGTGGGCCCTGGCTATCCCCAACACGGATTTTACAGAAGGTGGATAATAGAAGCCACGTGGCCGAGCCAACTTTCTGGGTCTTCTGTGAGCCCTTGTCCTTGTTCATGTGGTTTAATTCCTGGTTTTGAGGAAGTGGCAGTAAGGAAACTCCTGCTTTGCATACCTCCAGAAGGTCTTTTTTTATTTTTTTTTTAAACTTTACTGGGTAACAGTGTGTTTTTCCAGGACCCATCAGCTCCAAATCAAGTAGTTGTTTTCAATCTAGTTGTGGAGGGTGCAACTCAGTGGCTCATGTGGGGATCATGAGCAACCTTGGTGTTCTGAGCACTGAGCTCTAACCAACTGAGCTAACCGACCGCCCCCAGATGGTCTTTTTGAACATGCATGGCATCTGCAGTGTGAAAACAAATTAAGACCAACCAAATGCGAAAAACAAAGGCTATTTATTCAGAGCTTGCTACAGCAAGGGAGTCAGCCACATCACATGCAGTTTAGTGGAGACTCAAGGGCAGGCAGAGGAGTGGGAAAGCTGTGTGATGGAGAAAAGGGAGGGATTCGGGCGTGCCTGACTGGAGGCTGTTGGCACAGGGAAGCTGCCAGCAGACCAGCACCAGGGCGTCTTATGTGACTAGTTAGGAGAGCATATTTGGCTGTCTCTGGTTGGTCCTAAGTTGGGAGCAGAGACAAAATTTTGGGAAGTTGTCAGTTGTCAATACTTGGTTATGTGGGCCAATTATTGCAGGAGTTATTGTTTAGCTTTGTGGGTTGTCACTAGGATAACCATCTGGCTTCCTGGCTTCCCACAAGTCTGACTTATGGCAGGCTGGTTCCCGAGTTGTTTATTGTAATAAGGAGTTGGTTTCTCGGGCAGGTTGCTGCAGGTTGTGGGTCAGACTTCTGTATTTATATGTGGTCCAGCCATGGTGCATTTGTGTAATATATTCAGTCTCTCGGTGGTTACAGAATGAAATCCATGTTGCTAGGGCTGCCAGATAAAAATTCAGGAACCCTAGTTAAATTTGAATTTCAGATAAAAGACACATAATATTTTTAGTATAATTATGTCCCAAATATTGCATGAGACATACAATAAATGACTCGTTGCTCATATGAAATTCAAGTTAATTGGGAGTATTGTGTTTTTATTTCAAAATCTGGCAACCCTATATGTGGCTCAACCTATTTTTCTTCGGGGCCTCACCACAGAGAAGCAAGGATTCCAATTTCTGTGATCGAGCACCTCTACCCCTTGTGCCCTGCCGGTGGCCTTGGGTGGGTTTTAGTGGTAAGGGCTCCATCCCCATAGTACGGTTGTCTCCAGAGCTGTTGAGGAGTAGAGGCACCTGGAAGGATTCAGCCCCAGACATGGCAGTCAGGTTGCCCTGCGAGCAGGCCCAGCACCTCTAACAACCCAGGGGTGGGAGTGGGGGTGTCAGATCTCCCCATGCCTGTCCTCAGCCTCCAGAACACTGACCCACCTTTGTCCCAACAGTGGCACACGATACACCAAACCCAACCGAATGGACAGAAAGTACCAGGTGCTTGGGGACGGGCCGCCTCCTCGGGCTGAGTAAGTGACAACGCCTTTTCCTTTACCTCCATTTTAACCTCTTGTCTCTACCTGGGGGCAGCTAAACCTGACCCTGTTGAGGCGAAAATAAGATGTAGGGGGCAGAGCAGGAGGGGTCAGTGAACGGACAGGTAAGGGTCAAGGTCAGTTTGTCTCAGCCCATTTCACTTGAATGTGTTGAGAGATATTTTCACCAAAATTTCACATTTTCCAAACTAAGTGTTTTGTGGTAGCAGAGCAGCTACCCCTTTGAGGGTTGGGTTTTCTTTTGTTTTTTAAATACTTCCCCCTCGCCCATTCCTCTTTTATTTTAATTTCAGTGATTAAAACAAAATCTGCTTCACTTAATGTGGCTACGTTTCAAACACACTAGCAGAATTTCAACTTCAGAAAACAGAATCCAGGTCTACAGCCAGCCCTCCCCATAGTCAGGGACCCCACCATGCCAGCACTCCCTACTCATCAGTCTTTTTTGCCCCAGTGGTCTCATCAACAGGATTTTGTGCACGTGCAAAGAAGGGTGGCTTTTACATCAGGCAGCCCAGAAGTCATGTCTAAATCAGCAGGTAGACACTCCCTTGCCCCACACACCCAAAGACATTCCCCACTGTTAAGACCTTGACTCTCAGTTTTGCGGAGCTCTGTCATTTTATCCCATTTGTAGATTTACATAACCATCACCGCAATCTAGAAACAGAAGTGTTCCATCACCACCTCCTGCTTCTCCTTAGAGCCACATCCACCCCTTCCCCCCCCCCCCCCCAGCACCATCCCTAGCCCTGGGCAACCACTAATCTGTTTTCCACCCCTATAATTTTGTCACTCCAGGAATGTCATATAAATGTTCTCATACAGTATATGACCTTTCAGGGTGACTTTTTGCACTCAACATAAGGCCCTTGAGATCCACCCAAGTTGTCACGTGTATCAATAGTGCATTCTTTTGTATGGCTGATAGGTATGGATGATAGCCATGGTATGGAGGCACCACCGTTTTTTAGTGCTTAAAAAGAAAAATCATAGGCTAAACAGAAAATAAATGAATTGGGCATTTATTCAAGCTCTGAAAAAAGGGAGGCTTTCTTAGCATTATACTGTGGTTAGTTGCTCAGAAAATAGAATCAGAATGATTATGTTTTTACCCCCACATTGGGATTCTGGCTAAATGACTTTTCCCTAAGCCTCGGTCTTCCCCTCTGCACCGTGGGTAGAAGAGAAGCCTCCTCTTATTGCTGTGGAGGGGAGCCAGCAGGTTCCCAAGTGTCACCCACAGGCCTCCCTGAATACAAGATTGTCATACTGAGAAGCACTAGATTAAATCACAAGGAAAAAGACAGAAACACTTGGCCAACAAAATTTTAAACTCCTCTGGGTTAAAATGCAATTAAAAGTTAGATAACAACCAGCGATGAAACAATGGTGGCAAAGAAGGACAACAAAGAAAAAGGCCTTTAAAAATTGGCTGCCTCCCCTTCCCCTAGCAAATTACTAAGGAAAAACCTTGAGAACGCAGTAAGTAGGGTAAAGGAAGAGACCATGCCCAAAGGAGGAAATAAAATTAGGAAAAACACATGGAGAAAACATTCTTGCTAGAATGGAGAGAAGTGGAAGGGGAACAGGTCCAGTCCATATTTTGCCTGAGATTAACCAACCTATAAATAGATTTTAGTGGAAGTTCCCAGTTCATCAAGGAAGGGTGGAGACCATCCTTCCCAGGCACTGCAGATGGGAAGTATTAAAGAAACAATTATTCTGACACTTGTTACAACAATAAGGGGGACTTTATGTGGGACTGTTGCATTAGTGTGTCCCCACTGTCACAACAGGGGAGAGATGAGACTCAACTCAGAATACAAGGACAGTGGGGATTTATAGCCAATGTGCAGAGTGGGTGGGTGGGGGGTCAGTGGATGGAAAACTCAAGGGTAGTGGGATTCCTGCTGAAACTACTTAACAGGGTTCTTGCAGGCAGGCCAGGGGGATCAGCTATCAAGGGTGGGTGGGGGGATTGTCTCTAAACTGATTTAGCAAGGTTTCTGCTTAACACAGAAGCCTGCAAGCCGAAGACAATGCCCAAGGATGAGGCCTAGTTGAAAAGTGGGCTCAGAGGAGCCTGTCTAAAGTTCGATCAAGGAGAGAGTCTTTATGAGTCCCCCCTCTTGTTCAAGGAAAGAAAAGCAGAATGTAAGATATCCGTGAACCTAATTCCGAACCTATTTTAAAATCAGCAGAAGGAAATACAATAAAATGTCATCATTGATTTTTCCTTCTTGTTTTTCATCATATTTTCAATTTTCTTTAATTATGATGAAGGAATTTTAAAATGAGAGATCGAGTGACCTATTACATATATTTTAGAAATTGGCCAACGATGGTGTGTTTATAAACAGTCACTGCGTCACTTTACAAAAGCTGGAAAATGAAGTGTCCTACAGCTACATGTAGTTCTAATACATCTGTCCTTTACTTCACTCTTACTACTGAGCTGGTTGACCTAACTGGACAGGATCTGTGCAAATGTGTTTAACTAAGCCCTCATGTGCGCACAGTTACCGAAAGGCCAGAGGTACTAGAGTGAGAATGTTTGGTCCTACAGGAAGCCCTGCTCATTTGATAATATTTACAAGAAATCATTATTTCTTCTTTCAACCAATACTGAGGCACTGATAGGTACAGGCACTGCACTGGGGTTGGGGGTTCCATGATAAAGAAAAATAGACACACGTAGTCCGTGTCATGGTGGACCTGAACATCTGCTGGGCGAGATGGAGGTTAATCAGCCAGTCACACAAAGCAATCCCAGATCCCCCTGTGGGGAGTGCTATAGAGCTAAGGGCCACTCTGGGAGCGTTGGAACTAGGCAGTCAGGAATTGCCACCAAGCCAGGATCTGAGGAAGAGCAGGAACAAATGCGACCAAGAGGAAAAGTTAGCAGCGTTCTCTGGGGAAGAATCAGTGTGTGCAAAGGTCCTGGGGAGGGAGCGGGTAAGTACAAGGAGTGATTAGACCCGGTCCCTCAAGGACTTGTCTCGTGTGTGTTGCAGGGACTTTAAAGGGATCATCCTGACCCTCCTCTGGGAGAAAAATGAGCATCTGCTGAACATCGTGGAGGTGAGGGCTGCTGCCCACAGGCCTCGGCCTTTCCCTCTGCCAGCCGCTGACCACATGTCCCCAGCTGCCTCTGCCTCCCACAATCTGCTGATGATGGCCTTGTGGGTGAAACTGAGGAAAGCAGAATCTAGCTCCCATGACCATGGCCACCCACCTAAACCTCATTCATTCATTTATGCATTTATTCAGCCACCAAACGTTTCTTGGACACTAACTGCATGTCAGATACTGGGCGTGCCAAGAGGAACAAGCCCATCTTGCCCCTGAGGCCATTGCTCAGCAGGAGGGTTATAGACATGGCAGCAACACAGGGAAACAGGTGGGGTGATGGGAGTGGCACCTGGGGGTCCTTCTGTAGGAGCTACCCAGTGCTCTGTTCCAGCACACTCAACACAGGCGTGTCTGTGCATTTTCCTGTCTGCCTCCTACTGGGCTGTGAGTCCTTCAGAGCAGGGGCTCCGGGTCATCCATGTCAGTGGCCCACAGCCTGGTACCCAGGTGGGCGCTATAGGAAGCTCTCAACCTGGCCATGGAAATGACATTCCGTTTTGGCCTTGAAGGATAAATAGAATTTTGCCATTTACTCACTTGTGTCTCCCCTAGCCCCGCAGTGCCGGCAGTTGTGAAAAGGGCAGACAGACAGGAAGAGTGTCACCGGCATAGGGGACAGCAGGAGAGAAGGCTAGGAGGTGTCGAGAGCAGGACCAGAGGATGCCAGGAGCATGGACCAGAGTCCCGTAAGAAGGGTCCTTGCCCACACACTGGTCAACCCTCTATTGTAGGAGTTTTACCGCAAAGAGAAGCGTTCAGTCACCAGGCCTGACTGCATGTACGACACCTTCGACCAGTGCACGGAGAACATTGGCAAGAAGATGCTGGAGTACCAGAGCCAGACCAACGAGTACCACAACTCCTGCCTCATAGGTGGGTGCGGGCAGGGGGGCAGGCCCAGGGTGTGACATGAAGCCACTGACTGAGCGAGGCCTGGGCCTCACGGCCTGCATGTTACCCTCCTGATCTGGAGGTCACCAGGGAAAGTAGGGGAGCCTCCTGTGAAAAGCCCACATCTTAGAATTAGGTAAAAACCTTGATCAGATTAAACTGGGAGAAATAGTGATGGCCTGCCCTCCACCATATTTCTTGAGAAATATGGTGATTTGTATCACTAAAAATATTTTGTTCGTTGCAGATAGTTTTGACAGCTTTATTGAGATATTCATGTAACACAATCCACCCATATAATGTGTACAATTCAATGGATTTTAGTATAATCAGAGTTGTGCAACCATTACCACTGTCAGTTTTAGAATCCCTTGTTCCTCTATCACTTCCCCAGCCCTAAGCAACCACTAATTTTCTTTCTGTCTCTATAGATTTGCTTATTCTGGGCTTTCACATGAAAAGACCACATTTCATATAGTATGTGGTCTTTTGTGTCTGGCTTCTTTCATTTTGTATAATGTTTTAAAGGTTCATCAGGGTGTAGCGTGTATCAGCACTTGATTCCTTTTTCTGGCTGAATCATATTCCGTTGTATGCATTTACCTCATTTTGTTTATCTGTTCATTCATTGATGGCCGTTTGGTTATTTCCACCTTTTGGCTATTGTGAATAATGCTGCTATGAACACTCATGTACAAGTTTTGGTATGGACATACGTTTTCATTTCTCTTGGGTGTATAACTAGGAATGGAATGGCAGGGTCATGTGGTAACTTGTGTTGAATCATTTGAAGACTCCTTCCAGAGTGCCTACTGTAGCTTGGCCTGTGTTGGGCAATGATGAGCTTGGTAGACACAGCCTCCTGGAGAATAGGGACATGAAAAGAGGCAGGTAGAATACACCTGGCCATTTATACTTATTGTAATGACATTAAAGGAGCTGTGAAAACATGCCCAATGGACCCCCTTTTGCCCATTTCTCCATGTTCCTCTATGTCTTTGTCCATAGCCATGTCTGTTTAATGCAGTTGTTAAGTCCTAATTATTCCTGCTTCTAAGGCAGGGAACCTGAGGGCCCATCACAGGCCTGCTGTATTGGTTGAGGATAGAAGAGGGAAAGGAATGGGGGAGAGCCAGATCTGGGGTCAAGACCCAGCACTGCCATCTCCCAGCTGTATGACCTTGACCAAGTCACCTCACTTCTGTGAGCCTCTTTCCCTGTCTGTAAGTGGAGATAAAGGCAAAACCCTCCGTGCAAGGCTTTTTTTGAGGATTAAGCCCCTTGCATAGACCTGCAATATATAAGGGAAACTGCTGTCATTCTCATTACTGAGGTTAGGCCATGGCTGGAATTGAAACTACAGACAGCATTGTGTTTCTCTAGCTCAGAATTTCCCCAAGTGAACTCTGTGGGATCCCGTCCTCTATGATCCTCCTCAAAAGAAAGTTTCTGTGGTCAAGAAATGCTGAAAATTATGTGCCTCTCTGGAAGATTCATAGTTCATGTTAAATGGACACTTCCATTTCCTACGGTTTGTGAGTCCAGTGTCCTGATCAACTTCCCACTGGAAACATAAAAATGCTGGATAGAAACTTTTTGTGATGAACTCTTTTAAATGCATTGAGCTAGCTGTAAAGTAAGAAACACACAAGGCCCCAAAATTAAATAAAATATGAACTATAAAAGATAAATTAAACAGTGATTTTGGCTTTTGCCTGAGGGCTTTGCTGACTCCCCATTTTCATGGCCTTCGGGGCACTGTAGACAAAGCCCCAGACCTCCCAAAGCAGAAAGTCTGACAGGACACATGCCACATGAAACTGGACTCCGCCTGCTGAGTCAGGTGAATGAGACAAAACCACCTCTCCCACCCACAACGAGAAGGCAACTGTTTTATTAAAATCCTTGATCCTGGGTAAAGAAAAAGAGGAAAAACCCCGATGAGAATCTGTAACTATAAGCCAGCCGTTGTGTGGTGTTTAAACCTGAAGTCACACTGAGATAAACCTGAATTCAACTTTGTTTCCATAGATCTCTCACTGATACGTTAGCTTAAAATGATCGTGGCTTAGTTGTGCTCAGATACCTGTTTAGTGGAGACACTACAAATCTGTAGTAAAAACCACCTTCAATTCAGGCCTCCAAGGAGTCCCACAAATAAAATGCCCAGAATTAAGAGGTCACTGTAAAAACAAACGAAACACAAACACAAGGAAAAAAGGCACCTTGAACATGAGGCAGCTGGATGAGGCCAGTAACAACTTCAGATATTGAACATATCAAACACAGAATATAAAAGAATTATTCATTAAAGAGCAAATTGGAAACACGAGTAAGGAGGAAGAGACTATTAAAATGACCAAGTAGATATGAAAGGAAACCAAATAGAACTCCTATCTTGGGCAAATAAACAGTTGAAATTTAAAAATGATGAATGGCTTTGGTATCAGATTATTCACTGCTGGAGATGAAATCGGTGAACTGGAAGGTAGAGCCAAAGAAAATACCCAAAATACAGCACAGAAAAACAGATGAAAATTGGGGAGAAAGGTGAAGAGATATAGAGGAAAGAATAGGTCTAACATATAGCTATTTTAGAGGTCCAAAGGGAGAGGAAATAGACTAGAGTCAAAGCAATATTCGAAGAGATAATGCATGAGACAGATCTGCTAAAAGACACAATGCATTTTAAATGAGCTGAAAAATTCTGCAGAGTATAAAAGTCCTTTGAACTTTTTTAATCCAGTATTTTCTATACCGGTTTGAACACAGGTTCCCTTTTGATGAAATGGCTATTACCACATTGAAGACCAAGTCTTTCTCTTTGGGAGACTGCCTTGGGCCTTCGTTAGAGAGATCACCTCAGCAACTTAGTTCTGTTCTGCCCTCTCCCCTGATCCCCCACCCCCAATGTCTACAGAATTACGAGCCCAGATGAGGAGATTTGAGGAGCTGCTGCCCCAGGTATGTTGGCTGGTGATGGAGAATTTCAAGGAGAACCACTGGAAAAGATTTTACACCTCCATCAGAGAGATCCAGGAACAGTTCTGGGATTATCAGAAGCAACTGGAGAAAAGGAAGGTGAGGGCCCCAGAACTAGCCCTCCCTCTCCAGGACCAGGGGCCCTGGGAATTCAGAAATGGGTGCAGGGCATAGGCAGAACTGAGTCCCAGGGAATGCAGTGGGCTAGGCTTGGGATTGTAGGATGAGGGCTGAGGGACAGAAGGTATTGGAGAAATGAGTGGAGCCAATAGCTTCTTCATAGAAAACATTCAATACACTCCTTGTTGGATTTAATGGGTGGTCAGCTGGGTTCCATGTGGCCATGGTCATTGAGATCAACAATGATTGTCCACCTGGTCCTTGCAGCCGTGAGATGTGGATGCTGTTGATTTCATTGGACTAAAGCCCTGATTGTGCTGGACAGATACCCTCTCCCTACCTTCAGAGTCGGCTCCTGCCATGCCTCTATCTTGCCTTCTCTGCCCCTCCTCTGCCCACCCATGAGCCTTCAGACATCCAGGTCACAGCACATATCAGCCTAGCCATGGCCATAATTGGCAGAGGACATGGGCCAGGGACTTTTTGGTTCTGACCTCGAGATGGTGGTGTCAAAATCCTTGCTGATTTTTGGATGTTTTGATTGAAGGATACAAATGCCCAGAGTCTCCATCCAAATCTCGGACACCCTGCACGTTTCCAAGAAATGGAGTCTCTATGTCGACTGGAAGAGAAAAGACAGGAGGATTTGGACACTATAATTAGGGAAACCAGGGAGAAGCTGGAGGTCAGTGATGCCACCGACTCCCAGGTCCAGGTGCTGAGGGCTGCACTGCACTCCAGAGAGATTAGCCCAATTGACAGCCCACCAACAGCACTAAGCATGGCGCTGGCATGCTGGCCTAAGTGGGGCATGGAAGCGGGCGGGTTTTACAGGTGGAAATGATCATTCTTGGCTGTTTTAATTTGCATTTTTTGATTTCTAAATTAATTACAAAATTAATGAGAATTTTTTTTTTTTAAGATCTAGATCTCTAGTTTTATTTCCTCTTTGGTGAATTGTCCCTTGGCCATTTCTGAATCATTTCCTATCTTCAAGCCAAGTCACCTCTACCTTTTGGGAGAGGCTTCCTGGCTGAAGACCAGATGCCAGTGAACTTGAACACAGTTGATACATGGCTTTGCTCTTGTCTCACCTGCTGGCTCCCCAAATCCCCCTCAGCCTGCTTTTGGAGGCAAGTTCCTCTCCCTGAAGCACCAGGCCCCCCGTGTTTCCTCCAGGAAGCTACCAGGAAGTATGGCCGGGTTTTCATAACCAGCTTGGCCGCCTTCGCTGAGAAGTTCCTGCTGCAGTTAGATGAAGTGGTCACCATTGATGATGTCCAGGTTGCAAGTAAGTGGCACCGCTGGCCTTGTGCCCTGGCCCCAGGGGGTTGGTGAGGTGTAGGCTGATGGGCCTAGAGGGTTCTGCTTTCCCCCAATTCCACCAGAATGAAAGCAGATTCTCCACTGAGGGGACTGATGAATTTTTGGTTTTGTTTTCATTAAAAGTAACTTTTTTTTAATTAAAAAAGCAAATCCCAAATGGCTCAAAGGTTATATATAAACAATGAAACTCTAATAGTAAATATTTTCATAATCTTGAGATAGGGACAGCTTTCCTAAGTATGAGATGAGAGCCAGAAACCACAAAGGAAATGGCTGGCACTTCTCTGTGGCCAAAATAAAAACAAGGAAAAATGTCAAAAGATGGAAAGACAAACCACAAACTGGAAAAATATCCTGATAACCTAAAGGTCAGAAGGCCTACTATCCTTGTTGTACAAAGAACTCTCATAAGTCAAATTTATAAAAAGAGACAAAGGACAAACACATGCAATTCAAAAGAGAAGTAATTCATACGACCAGTAAATGTAAAAGATGCTTGACTTTACCTATGATGAAAAATGTGAATTCAAACATTACCATATCAGTTTTCACCAATAGCCTTGCAAGGCTTTTTTTTTTTTTTAAAGATTTTATTGGGGAATTGGGGGAGGGGAAAAGACAAGTTGCTGTCCTTTGGTTCTTCAGTCTATTGGGTTGTTGGAAAAGTCATGACGTATTTTTTCTCTGTTTTTCGTTGCAAAAATGCGTCATGACTTTTCCGACAACCCAAAAGTTGTGGAGGATGTCGCTTCACTAACCCATGTTGATATTGTGATCATTGTGCTCTTCCCGGATGAGGCAGTTGATTGCTGGCCATTGGACGGCAGCTCACGCCAGCTGCCAGCTGCTCACGCTGGCTGCTGGCCACTCACAATAGTTCACAGCAACCCACTGCAGCCCTACTGCAGCCCACGCCGTCACCAGCGACTTACGGCAGCCCAGCTCCAGGTTGAGCTGTTGTTCACCATCTTAGCTGTAGACGGCGCAGTGTCACTGGCCCTAATGTGGGATCTGAACCGGCGGCCCTGCTGCTCAGAGCTTGCGCTCCCAGGCCAACTCTTAACCAACAAGCCACTCGGCCTGCCCTTTTTAGGGCTTTTAAGCTCAGTGGCAACCAGCCCTGGTGAGAATGTGAGGAAGCCCAAGTGCTACAGAGACCCTTGGAGAAGTGTAACATCAATACCACTCCCTCAGAGAACCCTCTGTCAGTACCTGTCAAAATTCTTTTCTTTTTTTTTTTTTTTTTAGCTGAGCCATCCTGCCACCTGTTGGCAGCTCAGCGGCAACTCAGCTCGGACTGGGCATCGAACCACAATTGCTCAGAGCTCAAACCCTTGAGCGAGCTCTTAACCAACTGAGCCACTCGGCCGGCCCCAGTACCTGTCAAAATTCTGACTGCACATCTTTGACCTAGCAGTTGTTACCCTGGGAATTTATCCAACAGAAATACTTGCACACTTTTTCAAAGATATATTTTCAAACATATTCGTCACAGCACTAAAATTGCAAAGAATTGGAAACTACACTAATATCCAGGTATAGGGGATTGGTTAAATGAATTATGGTCCAGATGTACAAGTGAATATTGTGCAGCTGTTAAAGTAGGTGCAGTAGGTCTATATGTGCCTACGTGGAAAGGCAGGAAGGAATACTGTTATATGAAAACACAAGTTGACAGTTAGCACTTACGTATGATAGCATTAAAAAAAACCACACACATACAATATAAACATGCATACTCACGTATATGTAAATGAATCTGTGTCAGAGAGGTAGAGAGAGACACAGAGAGTGAGAGAGTCAGAGCCTGAGAGACAGGTACCAGATTGTTGACAGTGCTCACCTCTACTGGTGGCTGTGATAGGGAGAGACTTCTAGAAACTTCTCTTTTTCCAGGTTAGGTGATTTTTAAAGTTTTTATAATGTACCTGTTACATGTATAACTATACAAAAGACTCAAATCATGTATTAAATGTTATCCATTTATCACTAATCTATTAGGTAATTAAAATGTTATTTTCATTAAAAATTTTTATTACAAAGACAATAAATATATATTATGGTAAAATAAGAAATTCAATTTGAATTACAAAGGAAGTTAGGAAGACAGCCTACCTATCTGGTGGATTCAGCTTTTCCGTGGGAGGGGCCTCTGCCTCCACAGGAGACTCCAGTGGGGAGGCGCGGGCTGAGCCCTCGTTTCTCTAAACGTAAGATCAAGGGGTAGGCCCCTTGAGCTCAGGCTGTGGGTGAGGCCACGGTCAGTAACCTGTCTCTTACCTGCCAGGGATGGAGCCCCCCAAACAGAAAACATCAGTCCTCATACGGAGGAAACTCACTGGACTCTCCCTGGAGGAAGAGGGTGAGAAGCCCCTGATTGAACGGGGGAGCAGGTAAAGTAAGAATAGGAGGAATACGTGAATGGCTGTATCTGCTGTAGAATAAGACCTGGTCACCTGGGAATGGCATGAGGTGCTAAGCTTCAGTCTCCTCATCTGTGAAATGGGCATGGCAGCCTATCTCACATGATGTTATGAAGAGAAAGTTAAATGAGCTTGTACTTGGAGTGCCCCTGGCACATACTGAGAGCGCAACAGCTATTGGTTTACATAATAAGGTCCCACAAAGGGGCCCACAAAGAAATGGAGGCCTGTCCCAGGGGGAGGCATGTTCTGGGTTGCTGGTGGCACTGTGAGCCACTGCAGCTGTCTGTCATGTGTGCCGGGAGCTATCAAAGTGCTTGTCCCTGTGTCTCAAGAATGTGACTCTGGAAGAGAAGTAGGGCATTGATTTGCCAAGCTAAGTTCTTAGCAGTGGCTTTTATAGCGCAGTAGGAACAATGGACCAGGAACCAGTGACTGCTACCTGGCTGGCCAACAGATGAGAAAAGTGAGACCCAGAAACAGGAAGCAACTAGAGGTGTGGCAGTCCCCTCCCCCATGCAGAACCCAAGACTGTCTATTCACATGGCTTTAAACAGTATGAAAATATGAAAAAGAACTTGAAGAAACTTAACATTAAATGCTCAGAAGGGTTTTTCTTTTAATTACGACACTTAAAGAAATGCTAGCTTTTCTAAGGATGAAGCCACGCCTGTGGGGTTTTTACATGCACGTTTGTTTGTAGGAAGTGGCCCGGAATCAAACCCACCGAAGTCACCATCCAAAACAAGATTCTCCTCCGGAAGACTTCATCGATCACCACCACCAAAACGACCCTGGGCCACCTGGCAGCCGTGGAAGCCCGCGATGCCGTCTACCTGGTGAGTGAAGAGACGGGCTGGGACGGAAGTGTCCAACGGAGCACAGGGCAGCTCAGTGTGGCGTGCTGGGGAAGGAGGGACCTTTCCATCACAGGTGCCCTGACATTTGGCCCTTGGAGCAGATAACACATGTCGGGGTGCTCCAGACACAGTGTCAACACGCAGGGCAGTTGATATTCTAAGGCACAGGATCCTGGTGACAGCGTGGGTCAGATGGCGTGAGCCCGTGTTGCGGGCACCCAGATGGGGGACCCCCCCACCCAGACTGAGGGCAGGGTGAAGGAAGGTTTTCCAGAGGAACAGTTGGGTCACAGCGAGGGGACAGAGTTAGTCAGAGGCACACAGACCCCAGGAGCAGTGGGTGGAACAGCTGATAGTTACTGAGTACCTATTGTAGCTTCTGTCCTCAATATGAGGCATCTCATTGAATCCTTGTAACGACCCCATGAGGAGGTAGAATTGTCCCCATGTTACTGCTGAGGACACTGAGGCTTAAAGAAACATGCCCCCCGTCTATGCCACTACAGAGTAGCAGAGCTAGGATTAGAACCCAAGTGGGGCTTGCCTGAAGAAGCTACACCCAGATGCCACCTGTGGGACCTCTCGGCTCTGAAGAGGTGTGGACCTTTGACTTGGTGCCCAGAGAGAAACCTTGTCCTGCCCAGAGATAGGCTGACTGGTGTTGGGAGAGCCTACAGGGCCCAGGGCTTGCCCTTACTGGGCCACCATGTCAAGCCCCAGGCAGAGGGGGCAGCTCTGCCTGCTTAGGGCCTAGAGGGCTCAGCCTCCCGAGAAAGCCAAGAAGCCTGAGTTCCAGGGATGCCTCAGTGCAGGACAGCAGTTAAGAAGGAGTGCAGAGTCCAGTAGACCAGATACTAGTCCCTGCTCAGCCTCTTTCTAGCTGAGTGACCTTCAGGCAAGGCTCTGAGCCTCAGTTTCCCCATCTATAAAACAAGGAAAACAATAGGACCTGCCTGATCAGTTGTTGAGCAAATTACATGAGAAATGACTTGTGGCAATCTTGCCAGTGTCTGGGGTGGGTTAAAAACTACCTGCCGGCAAGTTACAGAGTTCTTCTAGGGCACAGAGTCCAGAAGTCCCTCCTCATGTGGCCTCCTGCTGCTGCCTTGTTCCCAGAAATATTTAGCAGCATTTGAGGAGGAGTTGAAGAAGATCCGGGATGATGACATATCGCAGGTGAAGGCAGCTCAGCGCTGGAAGGACAGCTGGAAGAGCTCCGTGCACACCATCCAGGGCCTGTACTTGTGATACCTCAACTCACTCCAAATAAAGGCTCATTTTGTATGGACTCCTTCTTTATACATCTGTCTGTCTGTCCTTCCATCCAGCCGTCCATCTACCCATTCATCCATCCATCCATCCATCCATCCATCCCTGCATCCCTGCTCTGTGCTCAGCACTTTGGCTTCATTAGTCACCAGGACATGATGTGGTACCTGCCCAGGTGGACATCGGTTCCATTGAGAAAGACTGAGGTGAAAGGAGGCATGCCACACGGTTAGCAGGGATGGTAGGCGACAGGAATGGCTCATTTAAAATAAGAGACCAGCACTTCAAAGGAAATAACTTCCAAAAATCATGCTTGGTACTTCACCTTGGAAAATGAAATAATTCAAACTTATGGGAAAGAGTATATTTTACATTTAACAAAAAGTGGGCTATAATTGCAACTATGCAGTGATTCCTAGAACCTATGAAGAATTAACCCAGTGTTGATTGGGTATCTGCCTGGCAACTTGCCTGGCCAAATTACAGCATTTTGGAAAAAATCTTCAAGGCCTCCTTAATTTTCCTTAGGGCCTCTTTAATCCCACGGGACTCAGATCATGCTCTGTGGAAACCTCCATCCTGTGGTCTTTTTTTGGTCGCCTTTCTCCTCTTTGATTGCTAAGTGGCCCAACCATGCCAGGTCTCATTTGTCATTAGCTTTCTATGCCACTTGGATAGGTTGCTCATACTCTTCTCTCAACATCATAAACTCCTGTTTCTTTCACATGGTTGGCATTTTGACTTTGCATCAATTCACATTTTCACATGCTTTCTCTCTTTTAGTGACTCATGAGGTAGGCTCCTTATATACTTAGGTGGTTTCTTCTCACTGCCTTTTCCTTTCCTCACGCCAGCATCTAGTGCAGTATACATTTTGTACCAGCTGGTTGATGGGCTGTTATGGAATCAGCAATATTGTACTTGGTTGCTTTGCTTCAAGTATTAGTTACCCCACCTCCATGCCCTACCCCACAACTGGGCCCTTAGCCAGCTGACAAATCAATATCTGCATCCTTGGAATCATTCTAATGGCCGGGCCTTGTCCAAGGCTGAGCTGTGTGAATGACCTATGATTCGAGAGTAGGCTGAAGCAATCTCTTTGATAGCCAAGACCCTCCCCTCTTCACTTGATCTTAGCCAAAAGGCCGATGGGACCCTCCGCTCTTGCTTCTATGACCTCTCTCTACTCAATATCGATTTAAGCTTCCGTTATCCCCTATTTTCCAGTGTTCAGTGGCTGTGCGGCCTCTATAGCTTTAGGGATCAGTCTCTTGGGAGGATTAGCCCCTTTCAGCTGACTCACCGTGGAGGCCTTTGTGGGGAGATTAGGGAGTTTTGCTTGATCAGCACATCCTTAGCTGCACCAAGGCCTGGATTTTAGCAGGGCTCTGGCAATCTCCTCCTTTTGTTTTTTGTTTTGTTGTGTTTGGGTTTTTTTTTTTTTCTTACTCAGTTAAAACAAATGCAATTGTCTAGAAATTTCTCTGCATTTGTCTGTGAGGCAGTAGTCGATGGGAGAGGGAGTGATCGTGATGTTAATGATTAATCAAAAGATCTGTTCAAAGATCCCGTTTGTCATGGATCTATTTTTCCTGACCTTATGTACGCAGAAATACCGGGGAGGCTGGGCTTCATCCACACATGTAATTTTGAACATGTTGTTGTTTAGCTTTAAAAAGGAGTTAAAATTAACTCCTGCTAAAATGATTTTCAATTAAATAACTAAGGGAAAAAAGATGAATAAAAATTTTTTTCAAGTTCACAAGGGAGATGAGTGATGGAATTACTTCCTACATTCTCCTCCACTGTCAACGTTTGAGGAACGAGTCAGGTCCTCTAGGAGTTCGGCTGGAAGAGGAATCACTTTCAGGTGGGGGCTTCAAGGAAGATTTCCGGGGAGAGGAATTGCTCATGACACTGAGTAATGCCACAACCAAGTGCCTGTGCCTTATTGGGTGGTACATAAGGTGACAGAAATGAGAGTTTTGGTTTTGGTTTTGAAGACAATATAGAGAAGAAACAGATGAGTTCAGATGGCAGGTGAGCTGAGGGCAACCGGAAGTCCCTAAAATTGACTCTGTAAATACTGGAGGGTGGAACAGACGTTGGTAAAGTTGCCTATGGCGGCTGCAAAGTCCAAGAGGCTCTGAGAGGGCGGGCAAGGAGTGTCTCTTTCTTGGGCTGCACTGCAAACACCAAAAAAAATCCATCAGGTGAGATGTGAGGAACAGATAGATTCTTGGAACATGGGTACTGTCAACCTTTCATTCTAAATGGTGCTTGCTGAACTGAGAGAAGGGAGGAAGAGATAGCAATTCAACTCAACCAACAGCATTAGTCCTGTCTGCCTTGTATAGGTGTTTTGGTGTTTGTGTCTAATGTGGCTCTCTCCAGATGAACAGACTAGGTGTGGAGAAATGCATGAAGGGCTTTAGAGGGAAGTTTCACACTTGAAATACTTCCACCTTTCTCAGCCCAGGATAAGCTGGCAACAAATCCATTTTCCTTCCTCACATCTGGGCCTTGACTTGCACTCCAAGAGAGGTTATTATGAAAAGGGAGAGCAAAACCTTCTCTGAAATAATATGCCAAATTTTGTATCTATATATTACTTTCACATAGTCTGACCTTCCCCCACAAAAGGCAAGAACCATTGTGCCTAAAGAGTAACCAGTTTGTGTCATCTCTGATGTCCCTTAATTTCCCTGAAATCCAATTATATCCACGGCATGGGGATTAATTCTTGAACTCCCTGGGCCTTGGACCATTCCCAAAGAAAACAAACACAACTTCCTAATCTGCCCTTGCTATGTCATCTACCCAGGGACTTCTGAGAACACCCTGGTATGTCTTAGTCAAAAATCTATCTAGAATGGACACTTTACCCAAGAACATATATGAAGGGCCAATAAACATGAAAAGATACTCAATATCATTCATTAGTCATGAGAAGATGCAAATGAAAACCTCAATGATATCTCTGTATCTCCACTGAGATGGCTAAAATTTAAAAGACTGACAATACTAAGTACTAGAGAGTATTTGGAACAACTGGAACTCTCGTACATTGCTGGGGGTTAGAGGGGAGAGTCCAAAATGGTGCAGAAAACAGTTTGATAGTTCTTATAAAGTCAGGCATGCACTTACCCTATAACTAGCAATTCTACACCTAAGTCTTTATGCAAAAAAAACATAGGACCACACCAAGACCTGATTGTTTAGATGCTTTATTCACAATAGCCCCAAACTGGAAACAATACAAGTATGTATCAAATATGAACAGATAAATTGTGATATTTCCACACATACAATGGAATACTACTTAGCAAGAAGAAAGGAACAGGCCACTGATGTATGCTACGACATGGGTGACTCTCAAAAGCATGCTAAGTGAAAGAAGCCAGACACAAAAGAACACATACTGTATTATTCCATTTATATAAACATTCTAGAAAAGGCAATGCTATAGTGACAAATCAGGTCAGTGGCTGTCAGGGGCTGGATGTAGGGGGAGGCAATGGACCGTAAAGGGGCACAGAGGAACTTTTTGGAATGGTCACCTAGTTCTATATCTTGATTGTGGTGGCGGACACATGACTGAATACATTTGTCAAAATTCATCAAACCGTACATTTAAAATTTTTATTAGATGTAAACTATTCATCAGTAAAGCTGATTTTAAAAAACTAGCTGCAGAGCATCAGTGTTCTTTATATATAAGACAGTCTAAACAAGGAACCCTTTTGTAAGGATAAAGGATCTTAGACTTGGGTTCAACTCATGTTGTTTTATGATTTATTTTGCACATTGGACTCTGGAGTTTTTCTTAATTCCCTACTTCAACTGGCCCTTTTTCAATTGGGAGCAGCTTTTTACATCTTCCCCATCTTAATATGGAGCCAAAGGATGATATGAGCACTGCAGATTCCAAGTTGGGTTCAGTTGTATTTTAGGTCTATTAAATCCACTGCAGCGTTTGGAGCCGATTAGAGGAGAGGGAAGGGAGAGCTCTGAAACAGACTGAAATACAGCATCAGATGGAGGGAAGTACCAGGGAGAGACTTTTGGGCAGACTTAGGGACTAGATGTGGGAGTATAAAAGAGAGCTGCGTTCAAAGAAGACTGAACAGTTCCCCGTTGCCTTTAGGAAAAAGCCCAAACTCCCAAGCATGGGCTATCAGAGCTTCTGTGATCTACTTCCAATCTACAATACTAGATCTTCTCACTGAATCAAAATCTCCTCAAGCACAGCCTTGTGCCTCAACATAGTAGGCATTCCATGGAAGTTTGTTATTTAACAGCAGGAGTTCAATTTATACTGGTTGATTGTCCATTCACCTTCTGATGGACATTTGCGTGTTTACATTTTGAGCTATTATAAATAAAGCTGCTATTTATATTCTTGTCCAGGTATTTTTGGAAGGGATATATGCTTTCATTTCTCTTGGGTAAATCCTGGGAACGGAATTGCTGTGTCATATGGTAGGTTTAGTATATCCATGCAATGGGATACTACTCAGCAATAAAAAGATATGAACTATTGGTACACACAATAACATGGATGAATCTCAACAGACTTAGGCTGAGTCAGAGAACTTGGATGTCTCTACCACCAAAAGGACAGCACATACTGTATGAATCCATTTATAGAAAATTCCAGGAAAAGCAAATTAATCTATAGCAACAGAAAGCAGATCAGTGGTTGAGAGGGCAAGGGACAGAGAGGCACAAGAGACGAGGATTATAAGGGGCATGAGGAAACTTTTTGGGGTGATGAATATGTTATTTTTATGGCAGTGATAGTTTCACAGCTGTATACCTATGTCAAAACATCAAATTGTACATTTTAAAGATGTGCAGCTTATAGTATATCAATTATACCTCAAGGAAGTTGTAAAAAATATACTGCTTGAATAAATAGCAGGCCCTCAGTAAATGCACACAGAATGAATGCAGAGAGGTATTCAATATTGATTTAAGGAATATAAACCAATACGCCCAATAAATGTTAGTATAATTTATGTGCATAAGAAATAAGTGAATAAATATTAGGTGTTCAAGTTTTTGAATGAATTTGACAAATACTTATGTCATGCTTATCATGTGCCAGGCACTATCCTAGGTTCCGGGAATAGACTAGGGAACCAGACAAAGATCCCTGTACTCACAGAGCTTTAATTTAAGGAGGATAGTAGACATGAAAAGACAAGTATTAATAAAACACTATATAGCGTGCTCGATCGGTGCTAAAGAGAGATAAAACTGAGAAAGGAAACAGGGAATATAAGGGAAGGAAATTGACGTTTTTGAGAGTGTGGCCATCCTCCTTGAAAGGGTGATGCATGAGAAAAGACCTAAAGGAAATGAGTGGACCAGGTGGGTATCTAGAAGAATAAAAAGTAAATGAGCAAGAGTTGAATGAAACGTCTGAGCGGAAGATGAAGCAACAGCAGGAGCACGTTAGGTGCAGGCTGGTGAGGTCAGCTGGGTCCCGGGCCCTCCCGGCCCGCCCGTACTTGCGTTATCCACGAGCAGGCGCTCCTGCACTCATCCCGCAGTCGTCTTTGCCGTCGGCCCGTGCGTGGGCACGCGCAGAAACCGCTAGGCGGCGTCGGTTTCCCTTCCCACGCGCGGACGCCGGCGTGGGCCGACGAGGCCTAGGTGCCCGCGCGTGCGCAGAGTTGAGGCCGGGCTGCCCTCGGGGAGGGGCGGAGCGGGCCGGGGCCGAGCAGGGCGGGGCGGAGGCTTGAGGTGATCCCCGAGCCGCGGTAGCGGCTCCGGCTGTGCTGGGAAACCGAAAGTGGGCGGCGGCCGTGGCTGTGGCACTGGCGGAGACGGCGGCGGCGGGACCTGGGCCCAGAGGCGCGGGGACGGGCCGTGGGCCCCCGGAACGAGGTGAGCGCAGGTCCCGTCGCGGAGGGCGTGACAGGTGCCGGGCGAAGTCCGACAAGGTTTCGGGCGGACAGCGCACCTGTGTTTCTAGCGGGACAGTGGCCCCGGGCGAGTCTCGAACGGTCCCGGGGCCTCTTCCCTGCAGCCTCAGGGGATGCCGTGGTTCCGACCCTCGGCAACCGGGCAGGGCGCCGGGGTAGTTGGAGTTCCAGAGCGTTGTGTTTTAAATCTCTGAAGGGACCCCCCTCATCCGTCCCCTCGGGGCCGGGATGGACGTTCACCCGGGAGTCAGGCAGACCCGCCTGCCGCCTGGGACACTCAGTGCAGTGTGGGGAAATACAGCCGTGGGGGTGTGGACAGGGGGCGGGAGATGCTGACCAGGAAGTGGTTCCCGGGACCGGCCGCGGCCGCCCGCCTGGAGCCTGGGATGTCAGAGTCTCAAGCTGTTTGAGCTCCGGTATTTTGCACCAGGAGCTTTAAGTTCCGTCAAGGCACGGGCTCCTCTTGATAGACCAGCCCATGCAGGCCGCTCAAGTAATGCAGCCATTCCTCTCAAACCGTGAGCACCGGTGGGTACAGAGCCCCAAGCTCTGAAGGAAACATGAATCCGTGAATGAGTTGTGTCTTAACGCTCTCCAGGATCCAACAGGGTCAGGTTCTCAGCCTCAACTCAATGGGAGGAGCCCGCACGACTTTTCTGCCTTGATCTACTTGAGGGGTATAATCTATTTCCATTCATAACCAAGCGTATCGCTCCCAAATAATTTCAAAGAGCAGGAAGAGAAAATACCAATTTTAGAAAAGAATCCTGGCCCAAAAAGATTCTGATAACAAACCACTGATCTAGGTCATATACCAACCCCCCATCATGCAGATGAAAAACTAGCAGAAGAGTTTTCTGCCTAATGATATGCAACAACTCAATGACAGAAAGTGAAACTTAGACCCAAGTCCCCAACTTACCTTGGGCTGCCTTGATGCGTAAATGTTACATGTGGCAAATAGTGTGGACTTTGCAGACCTGGGTTGGAATCTGGGCTTGTCCTCTTACTAACTGTGATCTTCACCAGATGACATACTTTTTCCTTGTGCCTGGTTTTCTTTATCAAATGGAAATATTTAACTTAGTCTGCAAAGCTTTTGTGATATAACTACTGTAAATCCTTTGGCTTACAATACTAGTCAGGAAATGTTAACTCTCTTCCTTCCACCAAACTTTCCATAATTTACATAATTGGATTTCAGTGTCTTGGAGGCCCCTGCCTTAAGTTCTCTATAGAATATAAAGTGGCGCATGGTGCAGATTTTTGCAGTTCCACTCAACTGACATTCATTGAGCATCAATTACATGCAAAGTACAGTGCTGGGTACAGGGAGTTGCTTCTGGGACCAAATAGATTAGAACTCACATCTCCTGTGCCCAGTACAGGGCCATTCCGTGACACACAGCCTCCCTCTTGGCTAGTTAAATACAGTGAGACTGTGAGGCAGCGGTTGGTGGTGCCTTCAGATTTCAGTCCCTGTAGATTGGAAATGAAATGTAATCCCTGCTAATGACCTTTTAACTGTACTAGTTGAACATGGCTGAATGAACTATTGTATTTTGTAACAAGAGATTTAAACTCCTTGAAGGACCTCTCTCTGAGTTTTCTGTGCAATATAATCTAGTTGGAGACTTAATATGAATGTAAAGGAAAAACGCTTTATAATTCAACTCTGAGTGCCTACTCTGTGTTTGATCAAATGCTATTTTCAAGAACTGAGATTTGACTTAGAATGAGTGCTTTGCCTCTGGGCGCTTTCAGAATCAGCAGGTAAACACAGGAAGGACAGAAACGCCTTGGTGCTTGGAGTGAAATCTAATTCCATATTTGTGTGAATTGGTTTTTCTTTCTTTACGCAAAACCTATTTTCTCTGCCCTCTACTCCCACTGTGGTGCTTTTAAAAGCTTCATTCACTATTTCACCATTGGGCTAATTAAAAAATTTTTTGTCTTTCAAATAAACTATTTAAAAGTAGTTCATTTTGTCATTTTTTAGCTGAAGATGTTTATATCTGCCCATCAGAGCTTCTGATCAGCACAAGATACTCTGTGTGACCCCAAAGTGAACTCAGTATTTTAGCCATGCAGTTTTGTCAGGAGGAAGCAAACCTATGGTTCCCATTAGACCTTTGGACCCCATTTGAAAACTCGAAGGATTCCAAGGAAAGTTGAGAATCACAGATCTTGTCCACCTTTCTTATCTTCCATATGAAGAAAGAAACCGGAAGTGACTTGCTCACAGGGTTGCAGCTATTTAATAGCAGAACTAGGATTGACCCACACTTCCATCTAAGCTACTGTGTCATCTCTAGTATATAGATTTATAGAAAGCCCTGCTTATATATTCATAGAATGAAGTTATTAATGTGTGCATAATTTGGAGCTTGAAATTACAGTAATAAAGAAAACTGCTTCCTAAAGATACCCTAAGGAAGTATATCACCATCTGAGGGCATTAATTACTATCTTTCCTTTTAAAAAGAGTGGGTAAAGAAGGAATTCAGGTGGCAACGTAGACAATTGGAGGGAAAAGATAATTTGTTAAACTGTTGAAAGGAGAGAAATGTGAAAGGGCCTTAAAAAAAGCCTTCCCTCTCTGAGGCTCAGTGTATTGATTCCTAAGATGAGGGGTTTGGGATAAACGAGGTGATATGTAAAATCTTTTCAGCATATACATTCTGACTTTAGGGGCTCAGCTTATTGCTGAAATAATGTCTTCAAGGACAAGGGCAGCCAGTGACCAGAAGTGTATGCCCTGAGGAGATACTAAAAATTGAGTAGTTGACTAAGGAAGGTAAGAGAGATTACTTGGTGATTTCAATTTACCCTAGTAATTATTCAGATTTATTTTAGGGGTTTAGTGCCATGCTATAACTCAAATTTATGACATGAAAAATGCATTGAGGAAGATGAGCCAACTAGTACAGTTGGAAATAGTTGAGAAAGTTAGAGAAGAGAAATAGGTGAGAGCCAGATCCGCTTGGCTGCAGGTCTTTGGGCACCAATAGTGAGGAAACTCAAGCAACAGGAAGCAGATAAAATGCAAATGCCTGAGCCACAGCGGTGGGTCAATCAGTGGTAAAGGGAAGTATCTCGAAGCCATCAAAACCAGGTTCTTCAGAAAAAGACTTTTTTGGGACCATTTTCAGGTGTATTAAAGAGAAAAGCTGTGAATTTCCAAGATACACTTTTGAATGTGAGAATTATTTCAGGCTATTGAAAATGTTCAAATCTTGCATTCCTGGAGGTTGTCATTACTTTCCCCTACTCCTTGCCCCACTTCTTGTACATTATTAATTATGTCCTTCTTGTACATGATTAACTATGTAGCAAGAGAAAAGGAACAGAATGAAAGGACAAAAGGTATCAATTGCCACCATTGAAATTTTGCAACAGTTGGCAATTCTTTGGGATTTGGATGCCACACCCTTGGATCAGAATGTAGCAGATCCCTGTTTCGTGCCACTTTAAGGGCTAGTCACTAAGCATACTTTAGGGTTGCTGTCAGTGTGCCCTAAGCCAAATTGACTTTCTGATGCCTACTCTATACATTTGGAGCAGCTGTCTGAACGGAAGCCCTAAATTTGGGAGCTAGAACACTTGGATTCTTGTTGTGGTTCTGGCCATAAAATACTTGAGACCTGGAATATTTAACCCCGGGCCTCAGTTTCCTCATTTTTAAACTGAAGAGTTTGGAGATGGTGTGAAAGTACCCACTGGCATTCCATGTTTCTCTCAGCTCCCCATGCTGAGGTCGGGCCCACCGCCCTACGCTGCTTTCCTAAACCAGGCAGTGTCCCGGGACATTGTGGGATTACAGCCTGGCAGGGAATCACTGCTGCCAGGCCCTTTTCCAAAGTAGTAAGTGACTTTTTGCCTACTGTTTAGGTGAGAAATCTTGGAGGAGATCCAGTGGCTTTCTTACCAAGCTTGCCAGTTCGTAAGTATGTTAATGAGGCAAGTAAGAAAACCTGGGAAAATTCTAATATTTCAAATTTAATGCTGTACTAAAAATTTCTCCAGTACACCAATGCTTATGTCATTGCAATCTTAGCCATTTAATGCATATATTCATAGAGAGTTTCCTGTCCACACCATACTTCTCGGAAAATGTTTTTTATTAAGTAACTGCTGAAGGCCAGGTTTTGTGGTAAGCACATATAACTTTACTTCTGACACTTGTCGTTCAGAAAGAGAGGCAAGGAAAGGAGGAGGAAAAAGAGCAAAAGGGAGGAAGTGAAAGCCAAGTGCAGCATGTTGTGATCTGTTGTGGCCAGTTTCTTCCTTCTTGACTGTAGTCTTTGCTAGCTGACCTTGGTCAGTTTTCGAAATAAAAGAAAATACTCTGATTAAATAATTCTCCAGACCCACCTCTATTCAGCTCCGGCAGCACTCTTAAGCCCCTTCCTTGTCTGGGGGAACCCTTAAGAATTTTAACCTGAGAACCTGTGGTCTAAACCAGAGATGGCAACCTTATTTCTCCCCACCTAGCCTAACTTACTGTTCACCAGGGCTGGCGGAACAGTCTCAGAATAAAAGCAATTTGAATTCTCTTAAACTCTAAATTTTATTTATCACAACACTTCTAGAGAATAGATGTAAGAGGGGAAGACATTTGGAAGATCAAAATAGCAACCCTAAAAATTTGGGGAGCTACTTTAGAGAAACTTCCGAATTTAATTGTTTGGGAGAGAGGCCTAACGGTTTGCCATTGAGATATTAGTGTTGAAATTCCCATAACAGGCTTTTTTTTGTTTGTTTCTTATGGATGACATCTAAGATGGTAAACTTGATTTTTATAGTTAGAGGAAAGTATTCTTACATACTGTACTTTTTATAAAAGTTTTTGAGTATAATTGCCATCTTCAGGAAATCTCAGAATATGCCATGATAACCAAGGAATTAACAAAATTTAGAGTATTTTGAAGCAATATATTGGGTGGTCGGAAAAGTCATGAT